CTGTTAATGTGACATTTAGGACCCCAAAATGAAATTTTTGCTAGTGCCTAGTGGTGTCAATTGATACCTGCCCTGGCCATGCACTTTCTCTCTTGGAGCAAGTGCAAGTGTTTTTCGTATCAGTTGATTGGACTGTTCGGCTGTTTCGAGCTCAGTGCTCTGAACTAGGGCAGACTAAAATTTTCTGTCAGTCAGTGAGCTGCTAGCGCATTCTTCCATTTCGCTGACACTCTTTTTGTAACTTTGGGTCCACTATCCACTCTCTCAGTTGGCAAATCATTAAGTTCTTTCCTTCTTCTTTTTACTGTCTTCTAATCGGTCGTGGAAGAATAACTTGGTAGGCAGGAGGCAGTTCAGGATTATAGAATGTCATACTAGAATGGGAGCTGCGGCACATAATTTGATAATGCCTTTTTTTTGTCCTGTACAGTAGGTATGCGACCTAACACAATGTATGAAGGCCCGTACACGCTGGAGGCCAAATATGAAATACAAGACCTTTGACCTTCGAGTTTTATAGCCTTGTTTTGAGCCTCCCTTCTACAGCTGAGGATGCAGATGAGCTAGTAGGCTTCCATTGTGGCAACCTGAGGCGCAAAAGTCAGGGGCTGGCCCGGTGTAGACTTCGAGCTAGAGTGATGTGCATTAAACCAAATTGACAAGGTTGGTTGAAACCAGCAAATGCAAAGCAAGTCATACCCTACCTTAAACTTTGTGTGGGGAAAGCCAGACTCCATCGGTACCTTCCGACCATTCAAGTATTGGTTAAAACTGAAACACCTCGTATTCAACCTACGCCTTGTTCTGTTGCCCCGCTACGTGCCGATCATTGTGAAAATATCCTACTTTGGCACCATAATGGGTGAAGGCTTGTCTCCCAACAAATACCGGACAGAGACACGGTCCACATAGAGGATGCTCCGGCTAAAAAAAGGGGAAATGCTTCTATGGTGATTCGTAGGTCAACAGATGCAATGGCGATTTAGCACGTTCCATTATAGGAGATCCACTACTTAGTTTCATTAGTGCTGGCTCGGATCCCTGACTGCCCCCGGATTTGAGCTCAACCGTGGTTTATTATACGCCACTCGAGTTTTTGGGACTCCAACCCCTAAAGGGGAAACAAGATCCAATGGGGTACAAAATGACTATTTTGCCCAATTCTGTCTTGACTAATGTCTTCTCACGAAATTGTTATCACACTCCTCCTACGGCAAATGTACATAGGGCAATAGCAACTGCAGCATCAAGGGAGCACTAACGGCAAAGCATGGCTGAAGACGCAAACATCGATCTGAGTACTGTCCCGGCCCTCGCGCCCCCTCCGGGACAGGTCAGCAATCTTAAGGATCCTTACTCTCTCCGACACTACATGTACATTACGGCTAGCCTGGGCCTGGGTCTGTCAACAGCCGCTGTTCTCCTGCGCGTCTTTATTAAAGCCCGAGTGATGCGATTCATGCAACTGGAGGAATACATTCTGATACTGTCTCAAATCGGATTTTATGTCTTCACAGGGTTGATGATACATGCAGTTCACCTGGGACAAGGAATCCACCAGTGGAACGTATCCGTAGCCCATGTACAGAAAGTCATTGAGGTCTGTGAGCATGAAACTGCTTTATGTTCTTTATATTTTCTTACAAGCTTCACACTAACTGATTGATCGCTTGACTTGCAGCTTGCGAATATCATTGAAATCATATACTGCCCCGTCATCTTAGGTGCCAAAGTTGCGATGCTTTTGCAAATGAGGCGAATGTTCGTGGTCAACAAAACGGGGAAGCTGTACTGGCTGCATGAGATCCTTCTGTGGACAAACGTCCCATGCTATCTTGCGCTGATGCTGAGCTTTGCTTTTGCCTGCGTCCCCCGCGAGAAGCTCTGGAACCCTAAACTGCCGGGACAATGCGTCTCATCCACTGCCATCCTCATTGCTTCTTCAACTCTGAATGTGCTTTCAGATTTAACCATGTTGTTGCTCCCTTTGGTGGTGGTCATGCGGCTTCAGCTCCCTCCCAGGAGTAAACTGATTCTGAACGTGGTATTTGGGACAGGCATCTTGTATGATCCGCACGCCTTGTCGGTTTAGTATTGACTGAGCTGACAAATGACCAGAACCTGCGTATCAAGCACATGCCGACTGGTGTATGGAGTCTACCTGACACGAACCGAAGATTTCACCTGGGGAATTGCCCCGATTGGGTTATGGGCGTGAGTGACATCAGTGATTCCTTTACGTATACAAATAGCTGTTCGCTAACGGTGGAACCGTCACCTCAGAATTGGCGAGATTTGTACTGTCATTCTCTCCGGCGCCATTCCACTGTTGCCAGGCTTTGTGAAATTTGTTCGGGGCCAGGGGAAGTCCCAGTCTGGGCCATCTTTGCCCAGATCAGGTTCCAGATGGCCTAGCCAGAATATGACGGGTTCAAAGGGACGACCTCTCCCCAGCGAGGATGGTGGAAAGCCGGACAACTATTACCCTTTGGATGCCACGAGTGAGGCACATGTCAGTGCAGCAGCCCTGTTAGCTCCAGAGAAGGACACCATCCCTTTAGGGATCATGAAGACTGTCCATGTGCAGACGGACTTTAGGAGTGTATGAATAGCAAATCGAATTTCCCCTTCTGTGACTAAAGCCAAGGCCATTTACTTCTCCGGGATCGATAATCGACTTGATACCAATTTCTCTGTCGTCCTCTGTTTGACAAGCCGTCACTTTCCGAAAGTAACATCGGACTGATTACGAACGGCTCTAACAGGTGTACAAGTCAAACGACTCCAAGACTCATTTTATATATAAGAACCGAGGAAGGCCGCATCGCGGGGCTCAGTAGTGCCTCTCTGACCTTGATGTTGAATGCGGTAATGGCATATCCACAAATCCATTTGCAGCAGAGCCCTTCGTTATGAATCTCTCCAGTACTGACCGCCTAATCCAGGTATATGATCCTGCAAGCATTATAAGATTGTAAGATCAGCTATGAGATGCCTGAGCTCTAGGATGCTGCCTAATTCATACTTCATGACCCCCAAAAGGACAAGCGGGTCTAACACATTACAGTTACAACTGATCATTGCACCATTTATACGTCCCTAGGTAGATACTGAACCATGGGCTTGCCAAGACTGAAGAAGACTAAGTATAGCCTGGCGTTCATGGGAATGACGCAAGGTTTCAGCTGCTTGCAAGGGGGTTTTACCACGGAATTGCGTGCCAGCTGATCGTGCTGTGGGATCTGCGCCTGCCTCTAGCAGAAGTTTAACAAGATTTGGCTTGTAAGAGTAGACAGCACGGTGCAGGGGAGTGCCCCATTCTGCAGAGGTCGTGTTAGGATCAAGACCCTTAGCTAGAAGAAATCTAGCCATGAGCTCTCCTTGACGCACGCGTGGACCTAGGGCGGTAAAGAGGAGATCTGATTCTAGCTTGGCCCCATGTGCGAGAAGCAGCTCAGGCAGGGATGTGTCTGCTTCATGGGTGCTCACAATGGCGCGGACGAGGGGGGTTATTCCCCTTTGGTTGGTAAGGTTGGGGTCAGCGCCTCGTAAGAGCAATTCACGAGCACATGCGGGATTATTTAGAAGGCTAAGGTATTACCAGGAGTTAGTCCTGGCACCGGATTACTTTGGCTAACAAGGCGGACACATACGATAGGAGAGGCTCGCCGTTAGAACACCTCGAGTTGGGATCAAGGCCATGGTCGAGGAAGTGGCGAACAACACTCGGGTGCTGCGGCACCTCATCCTCTCCAGGAAGAGCACCCACTGTCCAGGGAGACACACTAGCGCCAGCGTCGAAGAGCACAGCCACAACTTCATGGTGCGCCATTTGGGTCGCAAGAGCGAGTCCCTCGTTGAGGTCGTTGGCGGTTAGTCGTCCGCTGGCGAGGGCTTCCTGAGTCTTTGACAGCTCACCGGCGAAGCACGCGTCGAGAAAGGCGTCAAGAAAGACATCATCAGGCTCCATGGTGCACGTGAGATGGAGATTTGTGTGGTAAGTGGGTAGGTTGAGCTTCGGTGGCTCAATATTTTGACAGAAGATACTAGTTTACATGCATCGGGTAAGAGTCATCTGGCCAGCCTGGTGAGGTTTTAAAAAGCATCTTATTACATGCCCCGCCAAGAACCCTGAAAACACTGGTCCACTATGGGTCAGGAATAGTCAGGAATGGTCAGGAATGGTCAGGAATGGTCAGGAATGGTCAGGAATGGTCAGGAATTCCGCCGGCCTCCAATGTGGCTCATTAAACTCGTGCAGCATAATATAAGCGGGTCGGCCTCCTTTCAGGAGCGGTTGTGGATGGATGTTTATGAGTGCCACGGGTGACTGATAAGGCAGCCTATCGGAGATAAAGTATCTAGCTTACCTACTAGTCCGGTGCTGAATGATGATTAACTGAGAGTAGACTAGTATGTTCGGACATAATGTCCCTTTCACGTTGAGGTACTGTCTAGCCAAGTACAGTACCAAGTACTCCGTACATAGCACAGAAGCCTGGTGGGGAACAATCCCACGGTTAGCCTTATCGGGTAATCCCCGCAATCGTCGCAATGGACTAACCACGGTTGGCATGTGCCGCATGTCGATGTTGTCAGTCGAGGAGAAAGAATATCCGCGAACGAGATGAGACCAGTCTAATGATATTCTATGTCCGATGCCAGGCTGGCTGTGTTTGGAGAGCATGAGATCTCGGTCACCATCTCTTGCACCAATTGAGGCATCCTTTCGTTGACCTCGCGGTTTGGGACCGATGACGCTCAAAATGATGGTATTGTGAGGATAGTCGAGTGAAAGAACGTGAGCGGAGTTATCGCGGACATTAGGAAAGTTCCGAATTCGCCTGGCATCTATAAGAATAAAAAAGAAGCAGAGCAAGAAAAGGAAGAAAAACCCCCAAGTCGAATATTTTCTTTCCCACTCTCTTCTCCTACCCTCGTCTCCGTTGCATCTTTGATTCCCTCTTTCTCCCTTCTTCTCATCGATGATTTCGAGAACAATGCCCCGTTGCGCCCTCGTCACTGGCTGCAGCGCCGGTGGTATCGGCTCGGCCCTGGTGGAGGAACTCCAGGCCCAAGGTCTGAGGGTCTATGCGACCGCCCGCTCCCCAGCCAAGATGAACCATCTTGCTAAACTTCCCAACGTTACTCTTGTTACCCTCGACATTGTCGACCCGGCCAGCATTGCCGCTGCCGTCAATACCGTTCGACAGGATTTGTCTTTGCACGGTGACTCCCTCGACATCCTCATCAACAACGCCGGCCAATCCCTCGTCTATCCCGCGCTGGACACCTCGATCGACGAGGCCAAGCGTCTTTTTGATGTCAATTTCTGGGGTGTCCTCGCTGTCACCCAGGCTTTCATGCCGTTGCTGCAGGCTGCCGAGAATGGCAGTACCCTCGTGAATGTCTGCTCTATCTCGGGCTTCTTGTACGCCCCCTGGATGAGTAAGGCTTCTCTACCCGGGCCGGTGCGATAGAGGGGAAAACATTACCCGCTGATACGTTTGCACCAGGTGTCTACAACGCTTCAAAGGCCGCTCTGATGTCTTGGAGCGAGACTCTCCGGTTGGAAGTAGAGCCCTTTAATATCCGGGTTATCTCTCTAGTCACTGGCTCTGTCGCCACAAATGTCATGTCGCATTCGAGCCTGACCCTGCCCGAAAACTCTCTTTACCAAAAGGCGCTCCCGGAGATTCAGACACGCGGTGTCGGGATGGATGTCTCAAATAAGAGCGCGCCGGCAGACTTTGCTCGCGAGGTTGTTAAGGATATCCTGGGCGGAGCCTCAGGACCTGTGTGGCGTGGAGCTATGGCTTCCATGGTGAAGCTCATGTCCAAGTACATGCCAACAGGTATTTTAGTGAGCGCCACTGTGTTCTTCCATTTTTCATTCCTCTTCGACATGAATCGATTACTGATATGTGCCGCGTAGGACCGAGCAATGAAGGGGGGAACTGGGCTGGACAAGCTGCCTTGAATATCTTTCCAAGACTGGGGTGTGTTGAAAGAAAGCTCGTTTGGTGCCCATGCACGACAGAACCTACAATGCCCACCCCGCGCGAGATATCAGAACGGGACCTTTATAACAGAAGCAGAATCGTCGTATTCCCACCGTATTTTGCGTGCAAGTTGAGAATATCGTATGGTTGCCGACCGCCCATGTAGGGCCATGAATAATCTAGCTATATAAGAACGAACAATGAGCATTTCCAGAGCGGGAAGATTGGAACGTTGTAATGAGACGGACATTATTCAGAGCTGATAGACTGGGACATGGAAAGTGAGCCAGGGGATGAGACACAAATACCTGGGTCCATCGCCGGGCTATCCATATCATGATTCCCACGAGCCCGTGGTCCATTGCTTTTGCACTTCAAAGGATACCGGTAACTTAAATACTTCTCCGAATCCGCGACCACTGGCCGATTTGGATCGACTGTCCATTCGGTGACCAGAGGGTAGACGGAAGTGAGCTTCCGAAACAGGTTCTTAATATGTTGATCCACGCGTGCCATTCTGGCCTGCTGGTGAGCGCGGCGGGTGAGGGAGCTGATCATCTTCATGCGGGCTAGCAGGCTTCCCAATTCCGACAGCCGCCGTATCACTAGCATCCCTATCATGACCTCGTAGTCTCCTCGCTCGATCTTGAACTCGCCCAGGACCAACGGCTGCTTCTCCATCATGGCGACGGGGACGGGCGGGTCCCCCGGCCCGTTGGCTTCCCTCTGGGCGATAAAAGCATCAATCACCTCCCCGCACAGAATGGCCAATCGCTCCAGCACCATGGTGAGCACCATCATATTCTCCGACTTCCGTCGGCAGGCGTCGCAGTTGATCATCCGCTTGCACAGGAGGAGCATCTCTTGGTAGATCGAAAGGATAGAGTCGAGACTCTGCTCGCCAGGGCCCCCGTCATGATGGGGCGACTCCAATTCGTCCAGGAGGAAGACGGCCGAGTTCAGGCATGAGCTTGAAGTTTGCGCTTCCATAGCAATCTCGGAAGTATTCTCACTTGATCGGTTTGCGCGGGTGGAGGCAAGGATATGGGTCAACGGTGGAGTCGGAAGCAGATCCGGTGAAGTAAACCCATGGGCAATGGGCAGCAGCGGTGGCTGTACAGTATTTCCCGACCCAGGGTAACTGTCGTCCATCAGTGATTTTATCTCTGGAGCCCCGTTTCAGGACCGACAACCTACCCAGCAGTGAAGGGATCGGCGGGGAGGTGTGGATTCCCTGTCATCGGATAGTCGGAGTCCGGCATGCAGGTGGCGTCCCCTCCTGGAGACCAATCGAGGTAACTGGACCAGGTCAAGATTTGCTTCAACATCGGATCCAGCACCGAGTCCGAGTTCCCTTGGACCCGCTGCATTGCCTTGTCCTGCCCGATGTAATTCTCGTCTCCTCTAAGCGGTAGTAGTTCCATGGTCAATAGGGCCCTCACATCTCCCATGGCAGCTGGAATTACTCTGCCAGGGAATATGTTCTTTAGCCTCCTCTCTCACACCACAACCTGCGGAAGAAAAGCTGTTGTGTATCTTCTCTACAAGGTTATGACCTCAATCAAGTCATGAAACGCAGCAAGCGGTGGAGACAGGTTAGAACACCTGAGAGCCAGAACATACGAAGCTTCATATATATTGGCTTTCCCTCAACGTACATGTAGTCTTCCTCGCAAAAGTCATCAAAAATCCAATTCTCTTGAATTCTTTTTCTTCCTCCCCTGTTTCAGCCGCATCGAGCGCGTCCGCTTTCAAACTTCCCCTCGCATGCCTTTTGCCTTATCATATTGTGCATAGGCACCCAATCCTCATGTCCAACTCCAATCGCACCCTGGAAAGCCTGTAGTTGTTCATATGCATCTGATTGTGCGCATACTAGTCGCATACATTCAGTTTATTCGTCATCTGCAAACAGAATTGGACAAGGTTCTTTCGAGTCACGTCTAAACTCTCTCCATTCCCTTGTTAGAGTAACCAAATCGGCTTTCAAGGTTATATTGTCACCCTCCCAAGGGTCACTGGCATGGTGAAACAGCCGCCGCCTTAGTGTACTGAAATCGTACGTCAAGGCATCGTAATGCTCAACACTCATGTCTGCCGTCATCTTAACATAGAAATAGTGAAGTTGACGTATGTGAAATAGGGGGTGTCGACATAACATTCCTTGCCAACAGTATCACTAATTTTGCAACCGACAGAAATTTCCTATCATTTTGAGTTGTCTCCATGGTCTCCTTCTGGATAGACACATTCCCCAACCCATTCTCCATGCGCATGCCCCCATTCTCTCGGGATCAGCTTGCAGGTTAAAATGAATTTTGTTAGCTGTGATATCACATCGGTTTGCATATTTCGAAACATCAAATAAATGAGGGAGGCGGGAATATACTAAATCCGACTCAATTTGGGGTAGTGTGCATTCAGGTGAGAGGCATTCAGACAAGTCACCTAGCCAACCGTGTAGTCAATCATGGAAGGAAAGTCTAAATAAACCGCTTGTAAACGCCGTAATAGTCCCATAGGCTCTCTTTTATTTTAATTTCTAATTTAATTTATCCTGTTTACAGCCAGATATAGATGGATATCAAGGGGCTCTGCAAAGAGTAATAGAAAAAATAACGGCCTCACTAGAGCACCATACAGTTACCCCCTAGCTAGCAAGTTACGCATAATTAGTGATAAAGCTACGTATTGTATTATGCGGCCTTCTTCCTCGTCTCCTCTCTATATCCGGTTTGCCATATCCGTGGACGGTGGCCCTATCCATTCAGAGGACCTGTCTCACGGAATTTTGCGTGTATAAAGAACAGGTTGACCATGTTTGCTGGATTTACGCATTTGGCGCTGCTCGCGCTTGCTTTACTCCATTCTGTGGCGATGGCTGCTCCTTCGAGATCGTGAGATTTTGTGTGACCCTTACTCGTTGCAGTGATACCAAACTAGCTTGGATAGATCACCAGTACTGACCTTCTTCGGCCCAGTTATCTCAAGTCTCACAATGACACCTTTGATTATAATAGCGAGAAAGTTCGGGGTGTCAATCTCGGAGGATGGCTTGTACTGGAGTCCTGGATCACGCCCTCAATTTTCGAGGCGGCTGGTGACTCCGTGGTGGACGAATATACCCTCTGCCAGGTCCTGGGGAAGGATGAGGCCAAGGCGCGACTCCAGAACCACTGGAACACCTTTATCACCCAGGACGATTTCCTCAGCATCGCTCAGGCGGGAATGAACCATGTGCGGATTCCAGTGGGTTACTGGGCCGTGGCTCCTCTGGCTGGGGAACCGTATGTGGACGGTCAGCTCGATGTCCTTGACAATGCAATCATCTGGGCCAAAAATGCGGGCCTTAAGGTCATGATCGATCTACACGGAGGTAGACTTCCCACTCTATACCTCGACAATCTGCTAGTGGCTGACCTATTCGGATACAGCTCCCGGGTCACAGAACGGGTTTGACCACAGTGGACGCAGAGGGCCGACTCACTGGCAGCAGGGAAACACAGTCAAACAGACGCTAGAGGCAATTAGAGGCCTAGCGGAACGTTATGCCCCAAAAACAGATGTTATGGTGGCAATTGAGGCCATCAACGAGCCGGCGATCTATAATGGGATAAACCTGGACGAGCTGAAGCAGTACTATTATGACGTATGGGGGACGGTCCGGGATTATAACCATGATACCACTGTAGTATTGCACGACGGGTTCCTGCCTGTTGACTCCTGGAACGGATTTATGAACGTGGAGTCAGGCTGCTGGTACGTGATGATGGACACGCATCACTACGAAATGTTTGATGACGCCCTGCGGAACCTGAGCATTGACGACCACATCAACAACGTCTGCCAGTTCAGCCGCGACCACCTACAGCATGCCGATAAGTGGACCGTCGTGGGCGAATGGACTGGTGGCATCAACGACTGCGCCAAGGTTCTCAATGGCAGTGGCAGCGTCGCTGGTCTCTCAGACCTGGAAAAGCTCCACATCCGACGCTTCATCGAAGCCCAGCTAGATGCATACGAGAAGAGTACCGGCTGGCTCTTCTGGACTTGGAAGACTGAGGGCTCGTCAGCATGCGACATGCAAGATCTTCTAGCCAACGGCATCTTTCCTCAACCGTTGTCTGACAGGCAGTACCCCAGCCAATGCCTTTGAGTAGATAACGGTTTTGGATTTAAGCTCAGTTGTGGGTGGGAGGGCTGCAGCCTTCCTGGCGGGAGATCGGCCGGAGGCCGCGCTAGACTCTGCACAGCTCCCGTTTTCATTACTGTGGCCCTTTTTCTGCGAGTTGGGCGCTGGCTTCCTCTTGCATTTCCGCGTGAGGACGTGCGTATAGCTGAGGGAAAGGGTCTTGCACCGCGAACATCCCGCTCTTCGGCCACTGCAGCAGATCTATTTGGGCGCGTTTATAAATGGTCCCCTGTTAACGGCATTCGAGATCATACATACCTTTTTTACCCTGCAAGTATCGCAGGCCGGGTGTTGAGGTTTGTTGGTTGACGCATTTCCCCACCACCACTGATTCACGCTCGAGGAACTCCCTGGTCTTGTTCTCGGGCAGGTAGTGCAGGGTTCCAAACATTGTGTACTTCGGCTTTGTGTGTGAAAGAGAGGTCGTCTAGCTGGAGAGAAAGCTGAGTTTATTGCGAAATGGCTGTTTTTATGATCTTCGAAATCTATGCCATGGTGGGATAAGCAGCTTGGCCTCAAGTAGTGACGGCTTCAGCCTTGGGGTCCAGATCCCCCACCTGTCTCTACAATTATCAGGGTTATCTCCATAATGATGACTTGGCGTAAGCGCTGAGGCCTTGCTCTCCATTGGGAAGAAGAATAAATAGGCTGACACAGTAATGAGAATCCTTAGCTTGTCAGTAAAAACCGCACAATTCCAGAACCTCATTTGCGCGCTCGACCGTCAGGGTCGATAATTTCCTATGCCCTAGGCTGTCGCCACCTTAAGTACCTATATTCTCTGAACAAGGCCCTCTTTGGACTTTTCATGTCCGGTATGGCTTGTACCATATAATATGATGTAACCAGCTGTCCTGTCATTAGTCGGATTCAGAGTGCATTATGAGGCAGGGGCTAGCTTCTGTAGGCTACAGCAACACGCATTTTGAAGCAGGGGCCATGAAAATCCGCTAGCTGCCGTGTTGGACCCTCAATGGGTGACCCGCCCACCACCAGGGTAAGTCTGAAGCTTAGTTACAGGACAATGTATGACAGCCTTGAAAGTGCTCCTTTGAGTTGGAAATTGATGATGACTAGGTGCTCTTTCTTCTTTTCTTTTCTTTTCTTTCTTTATTATCTAAAAGCTATGTTTAACTGAGCAACATGATTCTAGCATTCCTTTCATCAGCGTCTCCGCGCGCGCACAGTCCCTTCAGTCTGGGATGGCAACTTCCCATCCCGAGTACCGGTCGCCTACTGGGTGCCTGGCAAAGGCTGGTCACCCATAAATCGTGGGAATCCTTGGTAGCCGAGCCAGAGCTCACCAGTTCCCGGCGGGCCACCGACAATCTCCTGCTTGCGACCCTTGAGCTCATCCACGTCCCAAGCAGCGAAGACGATCTTCTTTCTGAGAAACTCGGCTTCGGGGGAGGCAATCCAGACAAGGAAATCGGCGGGAAGAGAGACTGCGGAAGAAAAAAAGAAAGAACGTTCGTTAGCTACTTAGAAACAGAGACAGATCTGGCCACAACGGACAGGACCAGTTTATACGTACTGTCATCATAGGCATATGGCAATTTGATCGTCTCGGCCAGCTTGGCAGACATGGCCGTTTTGAGGAGTCCGGGATGCACATGGTGAAGACGAACTTGCGGGTTCTCGGCGGCAAAGGCCTCTAGGAGCTTGACGGCGGCCATCTTGCTGCTCACGTAGGTGCCCATGCCGGCGAAAGGAGGGAACAGGATGCCGGCCGTGGTTAGATTGATAAAGGTGACTGGCTTGTCCTCGTTGGCTGTGACGGTCTTGTTTGCCAGGACAACAGCCTGTGCCGTCACCAGCGTACCGACAACGGTAGTCTTGTAACCGTCCAGAAAAGTAGCTGGATCGGCTTCCAGGAGCGGAACAACGGGGGCCAGGACACCAGCACAGTGGACAAGGATGTCAATGCCGCCAAACTCGGCAGCCACTTTGTTCATGACATTGCGTACGCCCGAAGCATCGCACAGCTCCGCCTCGTGAGTCTGAATCGTCACCTCTGCGTGGCTGGCGCGAACAATCGTCGCGGTTTCCGCCAGGGCGTCGGCGCGTCGGCCGAGAAGGATAAGGGCTCGTGGACCCGACGTAGCAAAGGATGAGGCTGTGGCCCGGCCGATGCCCCCAGATGCACCAGTGATCAGCACAACCTTGCCCGCAGTGGAGAGGCCGGGTTGAGTTGGATTGATGCTGGCATAGGTGGCAGAGTGAGTGACCTTGGTGTACGAGGGCGGTGGCGCTGCCATTGTTTCAGACTGGGGGCTCTATTTATCTCTGCGTGGTTTGGTTGCAGTGCGTGTAGTGCGGCAGAGTGATCGTGTAAATAGTCAAATGGATCACTATCTCGGGACGCAAAATGGGAACCACTTCATGTGGATAGGCAGCAGTAAGCACGCTAGGCGCTTCAGCCTGGTCACTGACTGTGAAACCATTAGTAGCTGCCTAAGTTACTACGTACCAGCCTGTACTCATGCTCGTATCTGCCTGTACCAACGTGAATGAGCGGGCGGAAGCACCTGAGTGTGGCGCTTGTACTGGCAATAGCGGGTGAATAGCTAGTAAGCTAGCTACTCATGAGTCATGTGTAGGCGGCAGGCCAGAACCTCAATACTACCCTCAAAGTGGAACCGACAAGGAACGGGCTGTATTGGACCTATCGAGGGGTCCCTGCCTTAGGTCGTCGGAAGTGAGATTGGGGTCTTTTTTTCAGGTGCACTGGGGGGATTTGCCAGCCTAAGATCAGGTACCCACAGCGAGAATCCCTGTTTTGTCGCTTATCAACGGAGATCTAGGATGTGTGGCTGATTCTGAAACCACCGCCCATCCACACACTAACAATTCATCGCAAGGCTTGCAATCCGCTCAATCTGCACCCATAAGAAGATGCCTCGGAAGCCTAGAGATGGGCTCTTTCTCCATTTACCCGGAAAGGACATTAAAAAAAACCCCCAAAAGACCAATTGTAATGGCGCAACTGCTCATGGCCCTCCTCCTCGGTGCAGAAAGAGACGACAACTCACTCGCCATCTCCATCTAGGGAGGTAGACTTAAAGAAGTTTAATTGGAAGACGGCTCATCTTCTTCGCGGCACCACGATAGTGACCTCATCCCGTGCAGCCAGCGACAGGGGCAGTTGGGGGAGGTCATAAGCAGAAGAATTTAGAGGTTCACTCCGTGTCTGGAGGGTTAGGATGAAGATCATGGCATTGGTGAAGACTGGGAATCCCCGTCCCGACATGTTGCATCGAGGGACATGTTTCTTTCTGATACATTCACAAAGAATTGCCTAGTGCGGACAGAGAAGATAAATCTGATAATTTCATCACAACGCCCCGGCGCCATTTGACAAAACTCAATACCTAGCATAACGAACCTCCCCTCCCATATCCGATACAAGCAGACTGAAATCAAGGAAACGCAGCAAGCACCGCAACCACCGCCCCAACCAAAGGCAACCCTCCCCTCAGAGCATTCAACACCCCCCATCTCTCCAAAAGCGACTCAACCTCCGTCCTCGTCGCCTCCAGTTCATCCTTGGCCCCCACTTCCGCCTGCAGCGACCGATTCGTTCCCATCATAACCCCAAGCGTAAACGGAACAATGCCCAGGACCAATGCCCCCGAGACAGCATACAACGAACTACTGTTCCGCGCCGCCAACAGCGACAATGCCGTTCCCTCGCGGACAGACCAGGATAGGTAGAAGAGGACTGCGGCGGTCGCGACCGCGACGGGCGGGTTCTGCGTCTTGCCGTTATTGTACAAGTTGGCCCAGATTTTGGCGGCGGTGGACGGGGTGACTTGTTTTTCGCGGAGGGATTGGAGGAGGGCCGGGGTGGTGAGAAGGCTTGCGGAGAATATGTTGCCTGTTTCTGTCAGTTTCTGGCTAATTGTGTGTTGAGGGTTGGGGGGGGGGGGGGGGGGGGGGAGAAGGACCTGAGAGCCAGGCGGCGCCTGTCAAGCCTAGGACTTGAGCTGCGCGGAATGCGGTTGGGAATTCGCTCATTGTGTCAGTTACCGTTGTAAGAATTGTTTCAGTGAGGAAGAATGGAATTGGGTTGATGGATGGATAGGATCGTAGCGGTCTTAAAATAAGACAGACGGGGTTATGACGACATATATGGATTTGACTTTCGATCGGTCATGGGACCTGTGCATCTGAAACCAAACTTAACCGATGATCTTTTAGAAGCGTTCCAGGCTCCTGTAATAGCATTAAGCTTACCAATGGTAAGATCATGCCATTCTTTGTCTAGGGTGATTTCGGGTTCGCACTGTCGGCTTTTGCGGTCTTTGTGAGCCCGAGAGTGTGGATCCAAACAATAAGCATGGGTATCATGATAACTAGAAATAGAAGTGATCTAGTAGTATAAAGTCTAGCAGAGCTACTAGAATAGTATCTACAAGTATTAAGTCCACAGACCCCGTGTTAAAATCCAGATTAACCCCCTGTGCGCGCATAATCCAGGTGATGCAACGACATCTTTCTCAAGTAGCTAGACACTTCGTCCCTGGCGTGGATAATATTCTTCATTCTGGTCCATGGAGACATCTTCTCCCCGCAGTCGGCATTGAACCATTCCACGTTACTGAAGATCTTCCACTTTTCCTTAAGATGCTGCTTTCTGTGCATGGACACCACTGATCTTCTTCAGCTTGGTGCATGGAGACGAAAAACTGGAAAGTAAGGAATTGCTGGGCTGTGACCGAGGAACCAGACTACAGAAGGCTTGCGCTGAGGTGATTCAGTCTCTCCAACTCGGAAAGGGTCGTAGATCGTTCGGTTCGTATTGACAAGTATGAGAGCGTTCTCTGAGGCATTAATCTCGATATCGGAGGGGCCAGGATCGAATTAGTGGAGTTGTAACAGGACACAGATGTTCGTACGTGAAGTTGATAGCAGTAGGGTTGGATGCACATACTGGACCGGACATAAAATGTCTCCGCGGTCCACAATTAGAACCACCGAAAGGACCAGGGTTGTGATCGAATACAATGTGTAACTGTGTGCTAGCAGTGTCGGTGTCTATCTGAGCTCGACGCCATTGCAATCTGCCTCATCAAGAATCACGGCATATGTAAGGGCGTTGATATGCCTCACTACTCTCAGCGCCTGGGAGGCAGTACTAAACGATATTCCCGTAACTTTTACCATGAGCCTGGCCCTGAATGGGATGAGCAATACCTTGAAGAGCCAACTGACGAAGCTGAACCGTCAGACATCTCGATGACGGTAACGCCGGCTGCGTAGGCTGCGGGTGTAATTCCTTGCAGGCACGCATCCAAGTAAAACTGGGATTGTTTTCTTTGCAAAGCAGAATGTCGCATATTCTGCATCAGCCTCCTTTGAGTTTCGACTTCTCCCACTTTCCCGTGTCCACGATGGTCTTTTGGCATCAAATTGCTCGAGCATCACAATGTCCCAAGCCCGCCTAGCTGGGGCGAGGGGATGACTTGAATTCAGGCATATCGTTTCTAGGAAAGCGAGTTTCAATGTTGGAAAATTAGTACTTGGACTCTATTGTAGAAACGTATCGTGTGCTGCTAGAATTGCGAGCGTATGGAGGACCAAAAAGGCCAGCGTCATGTGCGAGCCATGTCGACAGTGGTATCCAGTTAACTGTGGTTCAACGTCCTCATACCGCATAGGAGGTCATTGGGTAAAGTCTCCGTCGACTCTTCGAAGCGGGGGCGGGAGCCGGAGCAGCAGCTGGAGGAGGAGAAGGGGTGGCCGAAGCCGCAGCAGCAGGTTCCTCCAGTAGAGGTGGCCTATACAATGTTATACATGCATTCATCCAATCAAAAGGTCATTACTGCGGCCAGCTCAACGTTTGTACTCACATTTGTATTGCTTGAAAGAGGTTCAAAAAATGCTAAGATTTTTGAAGGACGCCCCAGTTTGCTGTTGTCCCTGTTCTGATGAATGCAACACAGAGAAGTCTTCATTCTGATCGTCAATATCGGGAGACCAGCCACTCGCATCCATGATCAATACTTATTCGTGTAGGTGGTCCACGGCGGTGTTAATCTTCGTTCTGATCATCCACATTGCGACATCAGCCGGTTGCGTCCCTGATTAACGCATATTTATGGAGGTGATCCATCGCTGTCCTCCACTCTTGCTACAGACAGTTAGAATCCAATCTAGCCCAACCTAGAGAATACTTGCCTCATTGCCCAGTGCCCTGAGCGGGGGAAGGAACATTGTTTGGCTGTATGTTGTCATGAACCCATACCTGAGACGCATGTCAAATATGTATTCAGAAACTCTTCTCAGAGGTCTCCATCATGACCTTGAGATCCCCGTGAGCAATTACTTCAGGCAATAGTAAACAATACCAGATGGACCCTGGCCGCCGCAGGTACTTGGTGGCAGCCTCCTTGAATATGAACTGCCCATAACTGCCGATATACTGAAAGGTGTGGAAGTCCGAAAACCCTTCTCTTCCACTGTAGGCTCTATGCATCTCCTGGGGGCGCGTGATGTACCCTTTCATAGGGTCAAACACCCAGTTCAAAGTGGCATTCCAAATTCCATTTATATGACCCTCGGTAGTCGTGCTGCTCTTTTGGGAGCTCGTCATGTGTGGGTTTGTGGCTTACTTCTTGCTCCGCTACCTGTACGGCGCCAGAACGATCGGCTACATTGACCGGCATTGTTTCGAAGGGACCGAAGGAATTGGGGACAAGGGAATGATGTCGGACAAGCTGAATTATCCGGAAGCGATCAACAAAAGACAGTGACGATAAGAGACCAGTGATCTGGACAACCGTCGCCACGGTAAGGGTCAGTCTTCAGAACTACAATTTGTCCGCAAGTATAGCCAGAAGATCGTCAGGGTAATGTCCAGGAGTTCGCCCGAGCGAAGCGGAAATGTCGTTGGAATTGGGCCTAGTTGCCATCATTCGCAGCCACAATGTGTCGTCACAGCGTTGTAGTTCCTCTTGAAAGGTTAGCTGGGAACGAGGAATGGAATGGCCCGACTTACCGTTTTCAGAGCTTTCCACCTCTTACAGAGATGTCTTTGTACAGCCTCTTGCTTGAACAGATGGTCTCTATACATGAGATTTGTTGGGATTCGCTGAGAAGAATTTCCCTGTCCTTGGCCTCGAAGTCAATACCGGACTGCAAATCTGCCGGTATAGCACGAATCCCGAGTCGACATGGCAGATTGGCCATAGAGGATACCATTGCCGCGCAAGCACGCGCAATGAAGATCACAATTGGTTCCATGTCTTCCTTTCTGGAAGATAGACACCCGAAAACCAGTACGATTTCTTTAAAGCGATACTGTAAGTATCTAGCAAGAAAGCAAACGTCCTCCACAATTGCACTCTTGAGGAGAGGAAACGAAATCGAGACACTTCTTCAGAAGTACAAGCTGGATGCCCAGGGGTCTAAAAGGAGGGGAGGGAGACACCCTTCAGAGTTTGGGTGGGGGCCGGGGTCGCAGGAACGACCGGGGCAGCTGGCGCGGCCTGCTCGCGCAGCGCCTGCAAGACATGGCCAAGCGCAGCGGACAATTCCCTCCGCTGGAGGGGGCGCGGCACACGGAAGCCGCACGCACGCGGCGCATCTCCCTCTTGGGCACCTGCAGACTGTCAGCAAATCTGCAAGAGAAGAAATGACATGACCCCAAAATCCGAAACGGAAAGCCAAATCCAACTTGAAATCATCAAAGGAAGGGCCAATCCAATCGAATTCCGCCAGGTGCAACCACAACACAGAGAGAATCCACAACGAAAACCACAAACACACCGAACACCGACAGAACGCAGCCAAACTGGCAGCAACGCGGAGAAAAGGAACACTCACCCTGATGCACTTCCGCTTCTTGGCGGCACACAAGACACACGATTTCTGTATGCGGCCCTTCGAGGACCGACGGTTTCGGCACCTGTGACTCGGGTCCCGAATTTTTGCCCGAAGGCAACCGACACATGGAATTCTGCGAGGCACCCTGCTTGTACACTTCAAGATGGTTCATAATTGAAATAGTATCAGAAACATGTTTGACGAATTCATCTCCATGAGAAAATGTGTTGTATTATAGAACCGCTCCGGCGTCCCAGCAGCTGTCTCGGCTGAAGACGACATTTTGATTTGGATAATGAAGCAAAGGTTGGGGGCAATGGCAGGTTCATATCTTTGTATCCACAAGAGACAAGAAGCTGAGTCTGGTGAATGTCAGCAGCTCATCAAAGCAGGATAGTCAAAGAAGTGAATAGTCTTCCATGGACCCTATCTGCCAATTATGTCAATGTCGTCATCTGTAGGGCTTTAGCCATTTTCTACATTGGGAATCAGAATAGAAAACTTCACTAAGAATATGATAATCATGTTGAAACCTAAATAAAGTGAATGAATCTGGTTGAGTGACATCAATCCATCAAGCCATTGCGCTATGAATCAAACTGCTGCTGGCATCATACAAAAGGATAACAAACAGAGCAAACAAACAATGATAAGATAAGCGATAAGGATAAGATGATAAGGCGATACTGAATTTGGGCGGCGCTCCGGAAGCAACACCTCGTCATCGATTCATCCCTTGCTCACTACAGAATCAACATGGTGAGTTCTATACAGACCTTCCAATAGGATTTAAAGCTGACCAGAGTAGCGTACTCATTATCTATCGACTTGCCTCAAGGGGCGATTCTTGTCGCTTCCTTCCAGAAGGATAACTCAACAAATTAGAGTACCATTTAGGAAACCCAGTGGCCAGCCTAGACAATGGTCTACGTTCACACAACTACGCGCCGCTACGGTAGATGCTACTCAGAACGGTCCAAATCTCAGTGGATCCTCCACACCCACAGTGCGGGTACAAGGGCCGGGCAGCGAGGACCAGGACAACCACAAAGCCAGCCTCATCTCACAACTCAAAAGCATCCCCCAGGACACTAGCTTTCTGCGAATCGAGGAAAGCACTCCCTCGGACAAAGAATGGTCAATCCTCGGCGAGCACTTTGCCAACATCCGCGACCTGGAATTGGATAGCGGGTACGACGAGGGCCTCAACGATAAAGAGATGCCCCTGCACTGGCCCCTGGAACGGCTGGAGGTCAGCTCCGCCGCGGGCCAGGTCATCCAAACACCCTTCATCCTCCAAGGACGAGTAAAACATCTCGCTCTCATCTTCACCTCTGGTCTACGATTCGAGGGTCCTACGAACGCAGAGCTGCAGCGCGCGAATCGCGAGGCCATTGATCGCGGCGAGGCAACGCCGAGATACATCACGCTAGACGAGGGGACACCGGCGAAGAGAACGATCGAGGTGACGTATATCCCCGAGCTGGTGGCGCAGTGGATGACAGACAAGTACTCCAAGCCCCATGCGCAGGTGGAGTCGGCGAACCTGCCTCCCGCGCAGATCACCACGGACACGCTGGAGATTGTGGAGAACGATGCGCTGGATGCGTTCTGCCGGATGGCGGTGGCGTTGCCTCATGTGGTTGATAATCTCAAAACGCTGACGCTGCGCTCGACGCATGGACTGGACTTCCACTTTGCGAAAGAGACTATGTTTGTGGCTGTGCTCCCACATCTGCTGAATCTGCAGACGCTGCGTTTGAGCGTGGGGGATATTTTCGAGGACAAGGAGTATCTCCCAAATCTGTATACAAAGTTGCCGCCGAATCTGTCGGCCCTCTACTTTCGGGGTCCCGCATCCCTTTGTCAGTCGAAGATGTGGGAGAAGTGGATTGAGTCTTTCGCCTCGAAGGATTTTCTTCCTGAGCTGAAGAAGCTGGGTTTTGTGCTTGACTTGCATTATGAAGGTGACAAGGATGGGAAGAAAGAGGTCCAGGCGCCAGAAGCGGTTCTGCGGGAAGCTCGCGCTGCTTGCGACCGGCTGTATGCCGTTGCAAAGGACCGTGGAATCACGATTGAGCCTGTGTATGATAAGTGGGCCAACGAGTTTGAAAATCTCCGACAAGTGGATGATCGCTGGGGTGCCTTGTGAGCCTTGCTGATTACTTATTTACGCGGACTACTTTCGTTTATTCCTGGTATAAGGAATATCTACACTTATACTCATTCGCTGATGTTTTAAACAACCTCTGGTCGCGGCAAAAGAAAGTCCAACCGCACATCATTACGGGCCTTGGCCCACCATATATTAATATATATCTCAAAATCAACTCCTGCTCACTCAACTATCGCTCACCAGTACGGTACCTCTTGTAGAAGATCTCTTGTAATGTTCTGACCAGTTCCCCAAAGGTCCCTGCGGCTGAAATGTCGGTGATACTCAGCTCCACATCGAGATGTCTTCGGAGTGCACCAATACTCTCCATCATCATAAGAGAGTCGATCCCCATGTCAGCAATCTGCGCCAGACTTAATTCCTCAGCTTCATGTTTGCTTAACTGTAGTCGAATCACATTAAGAAGGAGCTCCCATGCTCGTTCCTCTTTGAACATCTCCGGGGTTTGTTTGGCCTTGGAGAAGAACTGCTTGACCTCATCAAGGAGATTCATCTGTAAAGTGTATTGAGTGTGTTCCAGGTTTTCGTACAGACGGTATCGAGCATCTTGAGACCATGACGGCCTAGCGAGAGGGTCTGACTGGGACTTGGTCGAACTCATGCCTACAATCACCTGGGACGACTCTGACTGAACACCTGGGGGTGTCGACTTGGATCTCTCGATTGCCAGCTGCAGTGCATCGAGAACATCAGCTTCTTCGAGGATCCGAGTACCAAAGGCCGCCGCGCTTTTCAACAAATCGGGCGTCCTACTAAAGCACCCGATATCGCCCACCGCACCAAGATCAATGGTGGTTGCTGGCAAACCTAGAGAGTGGCGATATCTGACAAAGGCGTCTAGGAACCCGTTGGCCGAAGCGTAGCTGGCTTGACCGATAATTCCACAGAGGCTGGCAATCGAACTGAAAACAACAAAGAAATCAAGATCCGTAGTGCCCAGCGCATGGTGGAGATTCCATGCGCCATCCACTTTGGGGCTTTGGACGGCCACCCAGTCTTCATGCGACGACTTTAGCAGGGGAGCAGACTGAGCGGGTTAGCCACGGTATTATATAGGGGGAGGCCAGGAGCGACTTACTCTCAGAACCATACCGAGGTGAATCACCCCAGATATGGGCTTGGGGCTCTTCGCTATGGCGCTGCGCACGTCATTAATATCCGACACATCTCCTCTTACGACGACGGCACTGCACCCTTGAAATCGAAGCTCTTCAAGGAATGCCTGGTCAGAGGAGGATTTAACTCCAGATCGCGAAAGGATAACCAGGGATTTTGCACCATTCTCCACCATCCAGTTAGATACCGCTCTTCCTATTCCCCCCAGACCCCCGACGAGAAGATATGCGGCGTCTGGTGCAAATCGGGGGCTGGGCTTAATCATTGCGATAGAGTCAGCATCGTCACCACCCGCGATCTTAACCAATATCTTGCCGATATGTGTTCCTCGTTGCATATATGCCAAAGCCTGGTGGGCGTTGCACGCGTCAAATACTTTTATGGGATGGATCGGTTTGAGGTGCCCTCCGCGATTCAATCTATAGAATGATTGTCTGAGCCTGGACATACTCATTAACGCTGTCATTATTGCATTGCCAAATCAGGCCCAAACTTACCTTTGAAATTGGTCCGGGCTGTCTAGCAGAAGCTGCAGCAAATCGACGCCGATAAAGGTTCTGTTAGCTGCAAAAGTCTCCATATCCAACCTGCCATGGCCCATGAAGTCACGCTTCCCTATTTCGATCATTTTCCCAAACTTTGCGACGCACTTCCAGGATTCGTGAAGCAGAGCACCAGAGAGTGAGTTTAAAACAATGTCGACGCCTTTTCCCTTCGTCTCTCGCATCACACCAGAAACAAAGGATGCGTCCCGAGACGCAAAAATATTGCTTCGGGGTATGTCGAAGTTGTCGACGAGATACTGTACCTTCTGTTCATTCCCAACTGTGGCAAAGATCTGGTTTGCCAAATTAGCGAACTTTCAATTCTGCTTGGATACATATCCTGGCTTACTTTGGCATTCATCATCTGGCATATTCGGATTGCGGCCTGCCCTACCGCTCCGCATGCCGAGTGAATTAGGACGGACTGTCCGGACTATGTAAGTTCATTTTCCGGGTAAATTGTGGCGATAGTACTCGTACCTGGCCATTCTCGAGCTGTCCAACGGTGAGAAGCGAGTAGATCGCCGTTGCATATCCGATCGGCACTGTGGCTGCGTCTTCCAAAGACATGTCGCTAGCAACCGGAAAACAGAATTGACTGGCAGTGGTCACTCTTGTAGCCAGGAGTCCCGTGCCTATAACATGAACTTTGTCCCCAGGTTGAAGATGTTTAACTCGTGGCCCGACCTGGCGGACAATTCCGCTGGCCTCAAGGCCCATTCCATGTTCATTCCCAATGAACCCGGACGAGACCATAACGTCCTATTCAAGCTCAGCCCGTGATCAAGTATTTTGCTCATTGTTAGCACCTACCCTGAAATTCAGTCCGACATAGTGCACATCCACAGTCACATCGTCCTCACCGAGGCGAGGGAGTGACTTCTGCCTCCAGAGGACAGGGTCCCTACCATCGAGCTTCCCAACTTCGAGTATCCTAGGCGCATCATCGGTATCCAAAACGGGTCTGATATCACGGTGCGCCAACCAGTGGAATCGGCCAACGTGTACGACGTCTTTGTGTATGGCAAACTCGCACTCGGGATGTGACACTCCCTGGGTGCACTGCCGCCGGAACTTCTCGTACACTTTCACCAGCAATCCGGCTGCTGTCAAATTAAGATCCTCCACTTCGAGGGTTGCGAACTGAATCGACTCTTCGTATCGGATTGTTCTCGCTAGACCTAAAATCAGACCATATGACGGATCCTCGCATGTAATTTGCGAGGCCTTGGTAACCCACAGTGTCCGTCGCCTTTGCGAGATATAACGCAGCAGTGTGTCGTATCTCTCCTTTGAGATATTTTGCAAGAATGGCTCCTCCAGGTCCATTAGACAGACAACGTCTTGTTTGTCTTGCGGTAGATCCTCCAGCTTGAAGAACTCAACCGCGTACCCTTCCTTACGCAGTAGTCTAGTAACCGCTTGCGTCCATTGGTGCGAATGCGAGTTGCATAACAAATGAACGGTACCCTTCTGATCCTCCGGATATGGAGACTTTGCAAGTATGCTCTGCTTTAACGACCATGGATAAGCATTGAACAGGCAGGACGTGAGCTCAGGCTGTTCGTATCCAGTTTCACAAAGCTTCTCCTTCCAGTATTCATGCGAATAAAGGTTCTTGTTCTGAGAGCCATAACTAAAGATAGAAACTCCTGGAATCAAGCTCTGTTGATATACAGAATGTCAGCCCAGGCGCATTCAGGACCAGGTTTCAGTCATATCTGACACGCTCACATACCATGGCATAATCCACGAAAGGGACATCTTTGTGGGTTAGTTGCACTTCCAGAAAAGCATTTTTTGGGCAACGTCTTACCTGGTGTAACCTCCCGAATCAGTAAACTGCCCCCAGGAACAAGCAGGCTCCTTAGCTTGTGCAAGGAGGTATTAGGGTCGACGTCGGCGGGCAAGTCCTGTAATCAATTTCAGCCCCTGGAGAAAACTTTGCTATATCAGGCTCCGAGCCAACGAACACTAGGAATAATAATCAAATCATAAGATGCTGCTTCAAATCCCTGATCAATAGGGCTGCTGGCGAGATTGAGAACAGCGCACTCAAAGCCGTCCACGTCTCTGAATCTGTCATTGTGCTCGACTAGTAATTCCGAAGACTTAGCGGCAAGAGTATATTTCTTGAACAACCGTACCCCTTCCGCCGAGTACAAGGAACTCAAAATTCCGGCAGTGGCGCCGCATGTGCTGGACTTGACCTCGAGTATCCTCTGTGCGGGATTCGAGTGTCCTAGCAATGAGAAGGCGTAACCCAGGTCCATGCAGTTAGCAATGAGCTCGTAGAATGACTTGAAACCTGCGTCACCTATGAAAAAGTCCATAAGCGGCGTCTTATTCTCAATGACATCGAGACCGCTGATCAGAAAGCTGCGTATTGGCCGAAGTTCTGGTCTGGACGAAGCGATGGCCTTCTTGACGTCTCTTAATATCTTCGTCAGAACAGATGCTGTACCCACATCCCAGCTTCTGACCTCGGGGAAGACAGACTGCAAAATTTCCAGGAGTCGAGTGAAGTTTTTATTCACCCAACTCTCGTATTGCATCGAAACCTCCAATGTTCCTGTGTAGCTTCCAACTCGTTCCGTAAGGTGCATGATACCCAATAGGGTCAATTTGAGTGTGAGAGTCATGGCACTGGTGCGCGGGATAGATTTCGCCAAGAAGGCGTTGGGGGGAAGCAAGTCAATGTCCGGTTTCCATTCGAGTCGAGAGCACAAGGGGATGTTGATGTCATTCAACATCGGGCTATGGTCCAGGGGCAGGAACTTGGCTCCTCTCATGACTAGAGCCACCTCTCCGTTCGATATCCCGATCACATCTCCACCTAATCCTGCGCTCAATTGGCCGCCACTCTGGGTTGTCGGGAAACTGGCCTTGAAGTTAGTCTCTTCCCCAATTGGGGCAATGTAGATGCTATCAATTGACACGGGGATTCCAAGTTTTGGCATGCGACGGGAAAGGCCGTTGCTCGACGCAACACTTAGGAGTTGGAGACCTTGATCCATAACCACCGGATGCATGCTATGCTCCTCTTTTACAGTGAGATCAAAGCGGGCCGTAGCTACTGCCTCGTGCCTCATTGGGTTTGCGGTAATATTTTGGAGCCTGCGGAATTCAGGTCCGAATGCCAGCCCACGTTTGTCCATAACATTATACCACGACTGCGGCTCGATGTGGCGAACGAAAGGATGAACGTCGTCAGTCGAGGTAGCCATCCCTTCCTCCTTGCCTGCCATTACCTGGCCCGAACAATGCTTTCGCCAGTGTTCGCCATCGTATGCCGAGATACTGAAGTCGAACCACTGCGAGTCAAGGCTGTCCGTGAGTTTGACTGGTCGCAAGCTTGTGAGTATCTCGGTGGGTTCATCCTCCCGCAATGCGAGAGGCAATACCACAGATAGATTCTTGATAGAATAGCAGTTTTGTCCGTGGATTTGGCGCATTGTTTCGCCGGCCATTGCAATGTAGCCAACGCACGGAAAAAGGATGTCATTACCCACTTGATGGTCTAAAAGCCAGCGTACCCGTTTGAGCTCGAGGCGGTTCCTCCAAGCCGGTTCTTGGTCCGATGATTCGAGCGTACGAACTCCCAGAAGCGGGTGGTGTGCGAATTTGCGATCTCTCCATTCTCTTGCCATGCGGGTCTCGTGCCAATATCTCCTATCATGACCCCACGGGTAGCGTGGAAGATCTGTGAGCACCTTCCCGCGGCCGCCATTGACCTCCAACAGATCCACTGGAACATGGCGTATGTGAAGCTCCCCTGCAGTGGCGAGTAAAGAACTTACTTGATCCCGGTTCCTTACAAGGGTTGGAATATAGTCCAGTCGCGATGATCCACCACAGTCTCGAAATATGTCCAGCAAGGGTGTCGATAGCGTGGAGTGCGGTCCAATTTCCACAAAGACTCTGTTTTCTGTAGTACGACTCACAAGCGACTTGACGGCAGGGTAAAAGCAAATTTGTGATTCGAGAGTCCGACGCCAATAATCCGCATCCAACTCGGCTGGTGATGCGATCACATCGCACGTTATTGTGGAATACATTGGGACGACCATTGAAGCATTCCTCAGTAGATGGCGCTTGATCAGCCTTTCATATACCAGCCCGATTTTCTCCATATGATCTAGTAAGAGTCAGTCTTCCGTATTGGTAGTATGGCAGTACAACGTGGGGAGTCATACGGGAATGATACGCTATGGGCACGCGAAGCCGTCTGCAGAATGTACCCGGATGCTCCGTTGATATCTGCTGAAGAACGCGGTCCAATGCCTCCGGTTTTCCGGAGAGAGTAGTGCTCTGGGGGCTGTTGTCGCACGCCACTACCACTTCATCCGCCAGGTATCGCAGCGCATCGGACTTACCAATACCCACTGCGGCCATTGCTCCTGGGAGGGTCTGTAACTTTGTGACTTGGCCACGGTAGTAGCTAAGAATCATGGCTGTCCTGATTGGGATTGCACCTGCAGCGTAAGCCGCCGCGATCTCACCACTCGAGTGTCCGACCACTGAATCTGGCCGAAGCCCCCAGCGCCGAAGGAGGTTCACTAGACCTATTTGGACAGCGGTACAAAGTGGCTGGGCTAGTTCCGGGTGGTGAATTTGATCATTATCACTTTTGACGAGCTCATCTGGCTGACTGTTAGCATACAATGTCGGCTTCTGGAGGTGTCCAATTCTTGCCTTGTATTTTCCACCGCGGGGCCTCTTCCAACTTTTGCAATATGTCGTCTATTCGAAAAATATCCTCTCGAAAGCTTGGGAATTCAGCGATCAGCTGCTTGCCCATCCCAGGCCACTGTGCCCCCTGCCCGGTAAAGACGAATGTGAGTGCCGAAAACGCGCAGCTCTCTCGTGACAATTGGAAGTCGGCTATGTCTGGAGTAAATTGGTCTTTTGTCACCAGGTAACCGCGATGGCTCAGGTACTCCCTTCTGACTCCCAGAGTGTAGGCCAGATCATGTAGCGATTGCTTAGTGTTTCCCAGATAAGCTCCGATTCCCCGAGCTCGCAATTGAAGAGCCTCTGCGTCCTTTGCGGAAACAACAAGCAGCCTCTGTTTCGAGATACCGCCAGGGACCAAAAGTTCGTCTTCACTGCAAGTACGAACTGAGGACCAGGAGTCCAAGATAGCCTATCATTTTTCAGCTGAAGACAACAATTGAGGGGCATGTGAGATCATCTTACGTGTGCGTTTGAACCCCCTACACCAAAACTGTTGACGCTAACTCGCTCTGCACGTTCAGTCGACAAGGCAGTCGGTTCTGTTGGAACAACGATCCCAGACTGTTGAAAGGGTACTGCGTGCAGGCAATCAGTATATCTAAAAGAGGACCCCTAGATACATGTGCACTTACTGCGTGGATTCAGCTTCTTCACGTGGATGTTGGGTGGTGCTAGCTTGTGCTCTAACACTAAAGTTGCTTTTATGAGGCTTGTAATAGCTGAAGCGCCTTCCGCATGCCCAACATTGGGTTTCACCTGCAGGCCTGTCAGTAAACCTGAAAGCTACCTAGCCAACTTGAAAGAGCTGCCGAACCGATCCGATCATGATACCCTTCTCAAATACGTTCTTGATCGCCGTTACCTCGGCCAAATCGCCTTTTTGAGTTCCGGTGCCATGGCATTCAAAAAAGGCCGTACGAGAAATCTCTTCGATCCCCGCCCTGGCATATGCGTCCCGGATGACCTCCTCCTGGGTTCGTGCTTTGGGAGCCCCTTGGGGTTCTTGCCTACCATCGCAGTTCAGGGCAGTTGCACGGATCACAGCTCGCACAGGATCTCCATCCCGAATTGCGTGATCCAATCTCTTGATGAGGATAGCAGTTACCGCTTCACCGCGGCCATACCCATCTGCTGCAGCATCGAATGTCTTACAGATCCCATCCGAGGCCATGGCCCGATAATCAGATAGACTCGTGCTTATCATTGGCGTAAAAATGAGATTCGCTCCTGCCACAATCGCCGCTTTGCAATCGCCATCATAGAGTGCCTGACAGGCGTCATGTAATGCAGTCATAGAAGAAGAGCACGCTGTATTATATGTGACACTGGGATCGGACTGTGTTAGCTTGCGAATCTCTTCCTCTGGCGGGTATTACTCACTCACCTTGGGCCTGTCAAGTCAAATAAATAAGATATACGGTTAGGAAGAAATTCCATGGTGCTCGCAGTTCTATTGTAGCTAAAGTCTTGCGTGTCCTGCATCGCAAGCTCCAGCCAGTCGTTGCCAAAGACGCCGACATAACACCCAATCTTCTGGCCCGAGCCGGACCAGTCTGTCTGTCCGGCATTTTCCATACATTCCCAGACCACCTCTGCGAGCAGTCTCTGACGAGGATCCATTACGGACGCCTGCCGCGCAGGCAGATCAAAGAACTTTGCATCGAAGCGCGCCGGGTCCTCACGTAGAAAGTAGCCGTATTCTGTCCGGACAGTGTGAAGATCGGCAGGGCTGGAATGCGAGCGCGCATTATACCGAGACCACGGAACTCGACAGTGGCCATCATTCCCCGTAATCAACAGATCCCAGAAGTCACTCTCGGTATTTACTCCTCCGGGTAATCTCATCGCCATCCCGACGATGGCAACAGGAGGGACTTCACGAGGGCGTCGCATACTTGAACCTTCAACTTCGGCAGACATGTTCCCGCCGTATTGTGGAACCTGGCTGGAGTATTCCTGTATCGAACAGACTAAGGAGTATCAAGGAAGGTGAGCATTTACAGAGTCGTGGAGAGTCGGAAATGTGTTGGGGATTGGAAATGGCACAGGAAATGATTTCCAATGGCGTGGGACTATCAGTCGTCACGCACTTGCGTTCTGGAGACGCTTTCTGACATATATGATAGTTCCTCAACAGATACGAGGTGATCGGCGAGAAAACCATACATATCATAAGTGAGGATATGGCAAAATGGGATGTGCCAATCAGCTCACCTGTAACCGTGCTAGGGGCACTTAAACCTTCTACTATTGTTAATGTTTTCACTCAGTCTTTTTTGCTGTATTATAAGCTGGTTTTTCTGCATTTTGTCTTTTAATGACTGACTACTTAAGATAAGCTTTCTCGGGCAATAACCGATTCAGGAAGGCAGACGATCCATCATAATACGCTAGTCTACAATTATGCGCCATGCATCAAGTGTTAGCATCAGCGCGCAGGTAGCTCAGAGCCCCTTACAGGATATTGAACTTAATTCATTGATACAGCAGGAATGTAAGATTTAGCTTAGCAATGCTTACTCCCTCGAGAAACCTCCATCAGAGCGGAATCCTAGGGGCCCCGGGTCCGTCCTACAAATAGCCCTGATTGACCTGTATTCAAGGTCTATCACACAACCACAAAGCATCCAACTCGCATTCGTCCAACTATACTATCTCCATTATCTATCCCTAGCTTTATTGAATCGCCCAACATGAGACCAAGTCAGTTTTTTACTCTCTTGGCAGCAGTCTCTCCCGCGGTGAACGCTCTACTGGGTTCGAGCTGCATCAGCGCTGTCAATAGTTTGAACAAGACCCCGGCACTTTTCATCGAAGCAGGGCAGCGAGTGGCTTGTCAAGCTGGATGCAAGCCCAAACCGGCTGAATGGCTGAAGTATGGAAGGGAATTCGTGAACGGGGTGGTGGAAGACGGGGCTGCTTACTGTCAAATTGACGACGGTCAGGATGTTCTCGCCGAGTACCTTGACCAGATATTTCACGATGTCATGGACAGATGCGAAGCAAAACTGGATGATAACCATCTTTGTGGCGACCCGGAACAGTTGAGCGAATTCAAAAATTGTGTTCTTTCGAATCGTTGGCACTCTTTGTCCTCGCCCCGACTATCCTCCTTACTGCCATATGCGTCGGAGGAGAGATGCAAACTGGTGGACAGCTACATCAACAGCTCACAGCTATGGGACCATGATTTCCCCAAACGCGCGAAAAAATATATAGGTAACTGCCATAACGATCTGTGAATGTGGAGAGATATGGCGAGAGACGAAGCTTTCTCGCTCCTCCGACATCTTTAATGGAATCACAACCGGTGGAATGTTGAGAACCGAATACTTCAATTCTTGGGGAATAAGAGGGGGAAAGGATTGGATTCTTGTATAGATCAACAATTCCAACTCGAATGGAGCCTCCTTGGAAGAAGACAGCTTTGGAGACCGGTTGCAGCTCATGCGAATACCTTCAGTGAAATTCGGTCACCTTATATTCAGAGACTGCCCATTTCGGCATCTGCAAGCAATTTCGCGCTATCTACCATCTAGCCCTGGTAAAGCTGTTCATTTAGTACCGCCCATTGACAGCTGTATTATGGTCCAGAGTGCCTTTTAGTAGAGAAAGACTGGTGGGTTGACGTATATGGACCACTTGACAAGAGCATTGACTTGAAGCCTAGTTTTACTACTTTAGTTGGCCAGCTCCTCAAATCAGAACAATATGGCATTTATACCTCGTTGGAAGTTATAGATAGTTGTGCTGTGCTTCTGGACAGGCCTTACTTGCGCCGTGATCAAATTCCGCTCCATTGAATAAGAAGCAGCGCGAGAATCCTCGAGTTCATTTGGAGGATTGGTTCATTGGCCTCTTCCTTTCCTGACGTTTTAGGCATCACTTAAAAACATATCTTCATGTGATAGCTCTTGGATAATCTTCCTGAAATGCAGAATCAACTTATACCTTTAGAAACACTGCTTATTCTGTAAACCTGCATATCTTATGTTAAACGGCCTTGTGAGCCTTGCTGATGTCTCTTTGCCCTGATCATTTCCCAGTAGTCAAATTTAGCATCATGCCTTGTGTGACCGTCTTTTGAATCACCCGTTTCACTTGGCAGTGGGCTCGTACTCGTTTACCCACTTTTTTGATTGGGCCGTGATGAATCTCACAGCTGCCGAACTCCCACGTAACCAGCAAGATCCAAAACAGCTGATTAACAGATGCCAAAAATAATTAAGCTTGATTCATCAAAGCACGAATTATCCTTGAGCATAATCAGGCAGAAGGATTCGATGATCGGAACGAACCGACCTCGGACTCGCTTTCCCTTCAACTGCCAAGTTTGGCTCCGCTCGTACTCGTAGCACCCTAGCACCAGGATTTAAGTCAGAACTAGTTAGTTGGTTAGTCTGGATCCGTTTGTCTTGTCTTGGGCAACAACTCAAATGCGAATACGACTCGTTCCACATAGGGAATGTGTTCCGCTGTACCTCTGACTGAATTATTTGGTTCATGTATAAATAGGCCATAAGCACTTGGATCGAGTCTTACTGTAAGCTTAGCAGCTCAGCAGCCTACTCATCAATCAACTGCAATAGATATAGATATTAATCTCTCAAGCTGTCGATTATCGTGCAGCGTGCTTACGTTCATTCGACGTGTTTGGACCACAGCCTAGGAACAATATGGACTCCATCTCCCCCCACCCCAGCGGCAGCGACACAGAGAGCGCATCCAGGTAGCTACAATCCTACACCTACTCCCAAAAAAAAATTAAAAATTAAAAAGAAAATACACTGACAATGAGAACAGCATCCCCGCGCCCCAAAAACAACTGAAAGGACAATCAATTTTCCCCCTCGCCCACCCTCCCCCAAAACCCACGCAACGCCTCCGCCTCACCCCCAAACTCCTCCTCCAAATCCAACACCTCTCCCCAACTTCTACCCGGCCCCTCCCCGTCCTCGAAGCCTGGCAGCCGTCGCGCTTCGCAGCCCGGCCGTGCGCGAATCTTCCCAAGCTCCACGCGGGTGATATATATATCACACAGAGCGAGGCCTACACCTCGTTATCTGGCGATAACCACAATCACAACTTAGCCTCTGGCTCGGACTCAGAGGCCAGCCATGAAGCGGTCGTCGGGGTGATCTACCAAGCCCACGCACAGAAAGCAAAATCGGAAAAGGAGGGGCCGGCGCCGGCGCAGGCGCAGGCGGAGGTGCATTTCCCGCTCGGGGCCGGCAGGTGGACTGCGAGTGCAACGACTGGTGGTGGATATCGCTTTCAGGCACGGGACGGGAATGGGGAGTATGTGCTAGAGTGGAGGAGGCGGGAGACCGGCAAGCGGGGCAGAAAACGGAGCACGTCGTTTTCTTCGTCGACGACGGATCCGGCGCCGGGGGGTGACAGTGTAAGATTTGTCCTGGGGCTTGTGGACGTAAAGACGCAGCGGGGGGCGCGGGTGGCATCACTTACGAAAAAGGGGTTTGAGGTTGGGTGTTGGGAGCGGCTGCCGCTTGAGGGGCTTCGGGAGTGTGTGGGATTGGGGCTGGGCTCGTCTACAGATGAGTCGGAGGAACTGTGGGAGGGGCAGTTCAGGACGGCTGTTTATACGATGGTGCTGACGATGGGGGTTTGGGTTGCGTCGCAAGAGGGGTGGCTGAGTTGAGGTTTAGACAAGCAATGCCAATCAACGATTATGACGGTCATATTGGTAAAGATGCGATTTTCCAGTCTTCTCCTGAGTCTGATGCATTTTACTTCGCTCCATAGATGGTGATGCCTTCCACCAGGGCTTTGATCTGCAGGGCCAACAGCCGCGAATAGTATCGGCAGAGCGCAAGGTTCCCGCCCATAAACCAGAATCCTGGATGACCGCTCTGCCGCCAGATTGTGCGCATCTCGCCTTCCTCGTTGAATCCCCAGACGCTCTCGACGCGATCAGCGACCTCGTCGCCGAAGATGGCCCGCGCTTGCGTCTTCATGTTCTGGTATCCGGTCGCGAAAACGATTTCGTCCGCCTCCAGCTGCGTGCCGTCTGCGAACCGAAGTCCATGGGGGAGGACCTCGGTGATCTCCTGGCCCTGTTTGACCTTGACCTTGCCGTCCACGATGAGCTGGCTGCCGCCGACGTCGATGTAGTACCCGCCGCCCCGCGACAGGTACTTCATCAGAAGACCAGCGTTATCCGAGCCCATGTCAACCTTGAAACCGGCCTTGTTCAATCCTTGGAGGATCGCGGCATCGCGTTGATTCTGAGCGGCAGTCAACTTGATCTGCTGTGCCTTGAACAACTCGCTCGGGATGCTCCACAGATACAGATCCGAGTCTTCGGTCGGGGGGGCGGCCTCCTCGTAGAGACCCTTGAGCCCAATCTCGACGATCGATTCGGACGAAATGACGCACGTTGTGCTTCGTTGGACCATGGTGACGTCGTATCCCTTTTCGTAAAAGTCCTGCGCAATGTCGTGGCCAGAGTTACCTGATCCGACCACCACGGCTTTCTTGCCCTTGGAAGCGGGATTGGCTGCGGTAAATTCGGAGCTATGGCAGATACGGTCTCCCTTGAAAGACTCCATCCCCTTGAACTTGGGTAGACTCTTTTCCCCGGAATGGCCGGTAGCTTGGATGACATGCTGTAGATGAAGGGTGCGGCTCTCGACCGAACCGTCGACCCGTCGTCTTTCAAGAACGACCGTCCACTGCTTTTTCTCATCACTCCACGAGGACGATTTGAGCTTGGTCCGCGTCCACACGTTGAGTTCAAGCAGCTTGGCGTACGCCTCGAAGAACTCGGCTAGCTTGTCCTTCGGAGTGAATATCGGCCAATTCGGAGGGAAGGGCAGGTATGGCAGGTGATCGAACCACACGGGGTCATGCAGCACGAGCTGGTGATATCTCCGCCGCCAATTGTCTCCAATGTGGTCCTCTTCATCAATGACCAATGTGTCGATGTTGAGCATCTTCAGACGAGCGGCGACTGTGAGCCCAGATTGACCAGCACCTGTCAAGTCAGTAAAAACGTCTCGTCAGTCGAGAGGTGGTGGCGTACCAATGACCAGGACAACGGGGTTCTTTCCCTCAAATTCAAAGTCGGAGGTCCGTCTATCCTGCCAGTTTCTTTTGCCTGGTTGCGCTCCATGCTGCACGCCCAAAGGTCGACGGGTGTTCACGGCCTCCTCATGTCCTTTGAGCTCCTGGAGGGTCGTGAAGATAGTGAAGATTTTCCAGATGCCGTCCTTCTCCGCCAACCGGACCACACCCCTTCCATGTCCTGCATCGTTTGCGAAAGTAGTGAAAAACTCCACGCCGGTGACCTCGCCAAACGCATCAATTGGGCCGACATGGGGCGCACGGAAGGGTGATGACTGGTCAATGTCAATCTGGGCCAGCCGTGCGGAATCCTCGAGAAACCTGGCGATGTTCTCTCTGCCTTTGATGGTGCGGTAATCCCACGACAGACCTAGATGATCCCGCCAGTAGCCATCCTCAAGAAATAGATCTGAGGCTGCCTTGTAGTTCTTCTGATTTAGAGCGCCATTCAAACGATCAATCACCTCTGAAGCGACCTTGGCGGGATCAATAGATGTGGAGGAGGCAGTTTTGGGGAACTTTCCCACGGGGACATTGAAAGAGCCTGGTTCAATTCGATCCTTGGAGGGGTGATCACTGATGGGGACAGTCATTTTTGCCAGTATCAAATAGAAGAGAAGTTGAAAAAGAGAGAATGAATTTCGACTCGTGCAGTTGCTCTTAAGAACCTTAAGATTGACTGTGAGTAATCGGAAATTGCGGGGTAACGTCAAGCGCCAAAATGGAAAAAAAATCACAGGCTCCCTAGACTGCCGCGCTCGTCTGGACAATATCGAAAACAGGACCTCTCGAAATGAGATGAAATGGGGCTGATGACACGTATTTGTATCACAGCAGTCCTTAGTCCGTTCAATTGGACAGGGAAGCCTGGTTCTGGTGTGCTATACAGTGGAGATCATTGCATGAGCTAAACGCATGTGCTGAATTTGGTCCCGCAATTCAATCGAGGTGCTCGTCCAATTGGTCATACTGTATGCATTTGACATGTACGGACAGCAATTGCAGCCCTCTGTGACAGCTAATTAGCTAGTGGTGTTGAGAATCGGCGCTCATATGATGATACGATGTGGTACATGAGGGGTTATGTGTGGGGGCATCATGGAGGCACCTGTTAGCATTTTGCAACGTGCGGAGTAGTCCGCTGCAGTGCATGTCGACTAGCCAGAAGACACGTCGGACGATCTTGAGCGAGAACCGCTGCTCCACTTCCACCTGCTTTGAAGTGGATCGATGCGGGCCGCGCGAAAGACGAGAACCAGCAAAAAGAGGAGACTACTCCCAAAAAAATAAAAAGAAATGCTCACAAGCGGATTTGAACCGCTGACCTCATGATTACTAGTCATGCGCTCTACCAACTGAGCTATGCGAGCTGGTAGATATTATAAGGCACTATGTAAGAAACTATGATCCTAACCTTATTTTAAGGGAACCTCAACTTGAGAATTGGCGGGTTTGCTCCAACGAATTGTCTTCAGTACTTATATGACAGGAGCATAATTCTTTAGACATGTCATTCTATAAATACATAGTATCTGACCTATTTAGTCCAACTTCTGTGTCAACCTAAGGTCTGTTTAATTTATCTGGTGTTCACCGCGAAGAAAAATATATATTTACAATCTGACCATTATTGGACAAAATTCATGCAATAAATTTATGCAATACCAAAAAGTCAAGAACGATCGTCGTAATTCTAGAGAACAATCCTATTCAACTGGTCTAGGGGGCATTGGCGCAACCAAACCGAGCAAATACATTATCTGATACTCGTCGCCACGGCCTGACCCATAACTGACTAGTCATATGCCTCTAGGCTTGTCCCATATAAGCATCATGCATTTTCTTCGTGCATTTGAGTATGACGCATTGAGACACAACGTGCTAATTTCTGCTTCTAGCCTGTTTGATGTTGCTGTCTGTCTCAGCCCTGCGCCTTGTCCCAGTGGATGGCCGCGTTGAGCCATATGCCCTATCCAGCGAAAAGCCATCATCCCCACCGCAAACATCGTTTCCACGGTTGTCCTTGTCCCTGAAGCATTAACTCTACCGCACTGACCGCAGTCTAAGACAAGCTTTAGCAAGACGGGGCTCAAATTGAGGTCGGGGCACGCTGTCTCTACTTCTTGGTTGACAGAAGCATCCCGCCCAAGGCAACAGGGCCAACCCACGCGGTGCAGCGACCCGGCCCGCTTCTTTGTTATACTGGACCCGGAGGAGCTGAGCCTGGCTTGTGCGAAGTGATGTTTTTGACTTCTTAGTAGCTGATTGTTCATGACGTTTATATGTCCTAATAAATTTGTACAGGGTGACGCTGTGCTTTGATTATGGGCTTCTACCCATTCCACTTGCATGAGCTTCCGCATATTCTCAAAACGTCGCATACTGAATCACTCCTGCATTAAGAATGACCATGACCGTGACCATGTTATTGAAAATAGTTGAACGAGTGTTATATAATACGCAATCAATCAAAGCTATCGCGAGCAACTTCCATAACTGGCCACTTGCAATTTTGCCTGGGATATGTTGAATATCTGTTGAGTCCCAATGTTTTGTACCCCGATTGAAGGGTTACGCATTCCAGATCCGTCAGTTACTGCTTCTTGTGGCCCTTGACAGCCTCGGTATCAGAGGGTGGACCCAAGGTGTATTCATTGTCCTGGCCCTGGGTGTAGACGGCCGTGTTTCCGGGGAGCTGGGTGAAATCCACAGTTAAAACTGGTCCAATCTCCGTGACGTTGACCACGGTTCCGGCCTCAAAGTCACCAGTGCCAATGTAGTACTTGACGATTGGCTGGAAGTAGAAGTTGTAGTTGGGACTTGCGGGCACCGTTGCCACCGGGATGATAAACTGCGTGTAAGGATCCGGAGCGCCCATACCAATGAAGATATTGGCTGTATTTTGCAGATTAGCTGGACTGCCAGTTCTCACAGAAACGAGCAGGAGGACTTCCTCTCCGTGGGATAGTTAAACGTCCCATCGCAGGATATGCAATAGGCATTGGGCTCGGTCTGCTGAGTCTGGCTGACCTTCTCCCAAGCAGGATACTCGCCCTGCGTGGTGGTCATCACACACATGGTGCCGGGCTGCTCCGGGGGCTTTTCACCACTAGAAAGGGTGACTGGCTCTGCGGAACCCGTAATGACTCTGACATGGTCACCGAGCGGAGTAGGGTTCGCTCCGTACACAGCAAAGAACTCATCGGTCATTTGGAAGGTGACCTCGGAGTAATTACCACTCTGAACAATTCCAGATGACTGGTAGACGTTGGTAAAGACATTGGGCTGGCCAGAGGGAACGGGCACAGTCTGGAAGAGAAGATAGTTGCGTGGCGCGCCACTGTAGTTGTACACCTGGATGCTGTAGTTCTGGGTCATTTTGGCAGAGTTGATTTCTCTCAAGCGGATTCAAGTTACTATGTTATGGGTATGGGGGTTATGGTACGGGGCATTATGGAAGTCTGGGCTCGATATTCGGGCTGAATTTATACTGGACGACCCCAGCGTCGAATGCATCAACAGCTACGATGATGCTGACCTGACTTCTGATCAGCCAGGGAACTCATGTTTCTCATGGTTCGCATCATGAACATGGCTCAAGTTGTTGGCCGCAGAAAACGTCATGATTTGATCTCGGAGGTTCTGCCGGCGTCCAGTCTATGACCATCATATAGGGCTAGAGCTAGCGAAAAACAGTTGTCGCTGCAGCATATTATCGCCACAGCAACAACTATGCATACTGGGCAGATCGGCGAGTATATGAGAGAAAATGGCACCGTTTTGTCAAGCAAGCCAGATTGCAGAATATAATTACGCTCGATAACCTGCGAGTCGGCCTGTGGGGGTCGAGGCAGGCTCAGCATCAATCAATAAGAGCCTCTGCTTTTCCTTTCTAGATAAGAGACATGAATTCAAATTTCTAGATAATAACTAGCATCATTGGTCTAGTGGTAGAATTCGTCGTTGCCATCGACGAGGCCCGTGTTCGATTCACGGATGATGCAGTATTCTTTTTTTCCGCTTTGTTCGGACCGTCATCTTTTTCTAGCCCTATCTCTCTGATATAAATTGGGGTCTTGGTTCCCCGGCTTCTCATCTCTGGACTTTTTTTCTTGATGCTCATTCATTCACCGTCAATCTTTATTTTTAAAATGATATGACACTGATGATTATGGCCAGTGTACAAGTGAGGATATTCAACCATCCAACCACATCACTATAACCCATGACTCCTTCCAGCCCTCACAGGCCAGTTCCTCAGAATTACATCGGATGACGCCGTATACCCTGTATACTGTACAGCACTCCAACCTCCAGCGATCTTGCCAGTAGAGCAGACGGCAAACCGATTCCAAGCTTGCATAAGACTGATAAGCTATAAAGCGATATTCTCCAATCCGAGAGGTGTTTCCCTAGGTCGCCCATTCGAGATACCCACGGATTGATATGTATGTGCCGTTTATTATCTATGTTTGAATATTTTGAAAAGGAAAAAAATATATACAAGAGAAGGTATATGTCTACACGAACGAATCAATGAAGCTCATACGAAAACGCCGACACCTGCGCCGGCCGCGCGGACTGCTTAACCGCATACCGACTCCTCCACCCAAGACGGCCCAACGCCAGCGTCTCGAGCGACTGGGGCCTCCCGCCCCAGAACTGGCCTTTGCCGGCGGCGTTGCGCTGGACCGGCGGGATCCAGAAATGCGTGACGGCCGCGCCGAGGATCATGCACGCGCTGAAGACGATCAGGATCCAGCCGTGGCGGATGGTGGGCTCCGTGCCGGGCCCGGTCCCGAAGTTGTAGTAGGAGGAAAAGACCTGTACGAGGATGGAGCCGAGCTTGCCGGCGCCGGCGCTGATGCCGTGGCAGGTGGCGCGGTAGCGCGTGGGGAAGACCTCGGCAGGGATGATGTATGTTGTTGCGTTGGGGCCTGGGGGCCTCACTATTAGTTCTCTGACGCATCTGTAAGCGGAGATGGGAGGACTTACCAAAGTTGAACAAGAGCTGTCCGAGGATATAGAGAATAACCGCCACAGGCCCTTCTTTGTGGACGGTGATGAACATGGTGCCCAGGGCGATAAAGAGCGCGGCGAGGGCGAGGAAGCCATACTTCTGCAGGGCGGTGCGGTCGACCTTGTGGCTAAAGAGGATCATGAGAAGGCCGCCGACGAAGCTGCCGATGTTGAGGATGACGAGCGCGTGGATCGAGCTGTTCATGAACATTTCAAAGATGTTGGCGTGGGGGTCGTCGTCGGTTCTCCACACGGGCGCCCGGCCGTGGATGTGCAGGGATCCCCACGTTTTGGCCAGAAACTGCGGGCTCGAGAGTCCGATCCCGTAGAAGCCAAAGTCGAGCAGGAGCCAGGACAGAGAGGTGCCGACGAGGGTGCGCCAGTTGCCTTCCGTCCAGAAGTACTGAGTGATGTCCTTGCGGGTCAGATGCCAGTGCGAGTTCAGCGTGGCGGGCTGGAGGATCTCGGTCTGCGAGGGCGAGCGGCTTTCACTGAAGCACTGGCTCGTGACGGACATGGCTGGCATGGGGAGGTCCCTCCAGCTGTCCTCGGGGCTCAGAGACGGGGGCTCGTTGAAGAGGGTGGTGGCGTCGAATTCGGCCTTGACGGGGTCGTCTTCGATCTCGAGCAGGAAGCGAGGCGTTTCGGGAATGACAACACGGAACAGCGTCGCGATCACGCCGGGCACAACGCCGATTCCGACTACCCACCGCCACATGATGTCAAAGGTGCGGGTGAGGTCGTCGTGATGCTGGTTCTTGCTGACGGCCACCACAATCAGGGTGACGATGTTTCCCGCGATCTGCCCGAGCGGTTGCATGAAGAAGACGCTTGCCATCATCCGGCCGCGATGCTTGGCCGGCGCGAATCTACCCGACACCGTTAGCTTTATTCCTTTCTTTTCAAGAAGATGAATACCTACTCCGAGGTGATGACGGCACTGAGGGGATAATCCGCCCCGACCCCAATTCCGACCACCAGTCTCCACCAGACCAGCCAGGCAAACACATCCATGCTACCATTCTCTCCCGTCGAGGACATGACGACGCCCAGCGTCGACGTGATCAGCAGCATCAGCTCCACCCCGTACATCTTCTTCCGCCCGTTGCGGTCCGCCAGATAGCCGAAAAGGACCTGTCCGAAGAGCGTGCCGGCCAGAGTCGCAATGTTGATGTAGGTTAATTTCTTGGAGGAGGTCGTATCCGGCCAGTAGACGTAGCTGACCATAGGGAGTGCCATGTTACTCGCGAAGAGCTGCCCACTTAGCTGAGTCCTGGTCCAAATATCTGGTGGGACTGACTCACTGTATATCCGTCGAGAAAGAAGCCGACACCGGCCACGAAGACGACAATCCATTGATACCCTTGTCTATCGATCGTCTCGTAGATTTGTCGCATGCGGACATGGCGGTCCTGACAATCAACAATCGGCAGTCAGCATGTACACCCCCCAACTTAAACAGACCAGGTACGAGAGACTCACCTGCTCATGGTCAAAATCCTGAGCCCGATCGGTCTTATACAACCGCTTGATCTTGCCCATGTTGATGAAAATGATGGATTAATCAATCGGACATGATGACAGTCAAGATGGAGCTTTACATGCAGATCTAGCGATGCAGACTAGATAAGAGAAATCCGCCAGCAAATTGGCCCACGAGGCTACTAGCACTGACCACCTGAGGGGTTCGCTCGCCTCTGGCCTCGTTGAAAAGCAAACAAAAGAAAAGCAACATGTGTGCTCTAGTTAAGCTAGCCTAGCCAGTCATCCCACCGACCCGCCGCTGACTCGAGGGGACATCTTGGGTGCAGTCACGCCAGAGGAGCAGCACAGAGTAATATCATGTTAGCATATTCGACCGTTATTGGCCTCACTCCCTGGTCGATATCACTAAGCTCCCGGGGCTAAGGAACCAAAGCCCGCACGTGCGGTGATGCCGTGCCACCACTGGCCCGTTGTGACCCACTTATCACCGCTGTCACAGAAGAAGTAGGAGTAAGTTACTCAGACGAGGCACTTTTTCGTTTTTCATTAACGACCCTGAGCGACCCAGAGGGTGAAAACAACCGACCAACATCTATTATCCGTCGTCAATACCAGTAACATGAGACCATGGACTCCTGAAGTAAGGAACCGGGCCATTACGGATGCTCTACTCTGGTGCACATGTTTGTGGCGTCGTGGCGTGTCTAGAACAAAGGCAATGACATAACAATACCTTTGCTCAGTACGGAGTAAAGAGAGTGGAGTGATAGCCTTGTCTGTATGGAGTACCTATGCACTCCATACGACTCCGTATCTTCGACTCCCACGTGTAGGATCTAAGCGAAACACGCGAAGGATTCGGCCGGTGATGGTCGTCAGGGACTTGGTCCTTCGTATCTTACCTGAATAATAGTCTAAAGCATGCCATTAGTGTTACTGAGCGTTGTGAAATCAATCAAATGGATTTACGGATACTGCGCTTATTACGCGGAAATCGGAAAATCAGAAAATTCTAAATCAGAAAAATCTAATTCCCTCAAGGATCCTCCGTCCTCGATAGTCCGTCCCAACGGAAAAAAGCGCCCAGTCACTGTCCATAACCATAATATTGCAAACTCTATCGAAAACGCACAACAGGGTATTTATTCCAAACATCCTAATACCGTAGAAACGCCGTGCTGGTGCTAAATATCATGAAATTAAGTAATATGAGATCCATGTGATCCCAATATCGAACCGCCGTAGCCGGCACTGACCTTGGCGATTACCTATACTTGGTAATCCTCCTTGTGCCTGTGTCTCGGTGCCGGCGAGCTCGTGGAGACCTACTAAGTAGGGTACCAGGGACCAGACATTGCTCTGGAGCCTGCGTATGGTACAATCATAACATCTGATTGGTCAGAAACGCGCAAAATGCTTTCCGATCTGCAACTAGTGAGCTTGGTCCCCCAATGACGACGAAAAAATGACATACCCTGATCGTCCAGGAACTGGATGTTCAGCACTTTCATCTGCGCCAGGATATCAAAGTTTGGCTGTAGCTCTAGCACCACGGGCCGACCGGCTTTCTTGCCGGGATTGACCGTCTCGATGCAATTTACTACTCGCTGTCAGTATAGTCGCGTAGAGAATATTGAGAGCATTGAGCATACCAGGAATCGAAACATATCGTTTCAGCTCCTTGCGCTGCGAGTTGGCAAAAAAAAGCATGACCAGTTTTCCGTTGTGCCCGCGGAAGACCCGTAAGTTCTGGCTGATACATTCCTCCCCGCGGCCCTTGGATTTTGCTTCGGCGATGCCGGCAATAAAAACGAGTCTCGCGGCGAGGATGAGTTCCTGGAATTGGACACAGTCTGGCATGTATCGTCAGCATAACATAACTCCATAGCAGAGACGGAAAGAGAGTAAACTAACCCCGCCAGTCCTCAAAGGTATATGAGAGCTGGGTGTTAAAGACCGTGCTTGCGCTTTGGACGGTCTGCTCTTCTAGAAAGGAGATGCGTAGGGAGGGTTCGTCGCGGAGTTTGGGATGTTCGAGGTGAGGCACGGGGAGTTTTGTGCCGTGGACTGTCTGCGTTAGATTCGCTGCTTCTGCTTGCCTCGGAATGCAGCGACTTACAGGTATGGATAAAAGGCGAATTCTGCCCTATCCCGCCCCCCAGCTCCAGCCCGCGGAGGGTGCCTGTGGCATCCTTGCAGATGTCGATGTAGGTATATCGTAGTTTGAAGAGTTTGCTATTTCGCACGAATGATCTGTTGATGTTAGATTGCCCTTGTGTCATAGGATCAGGGAGCATACATCGTCACGGCCGGATTGAGCTGTAAGCGAGTGACATCGTCATGCAGCGAGGGGACCCTTGACCTCGTCCCCGGCGAGGTCGCGGGGCTGATGGGCGTGGAGTAGAATGGTGACGACGGAGAACCCAGGATTGCGGATGCTGATCCGGACGAACCGGTCGAGGTGGAAAATGCGCTTTCCCGTCGAGATGGAGGTAGAGGAGGCAGAGGCCAGTCGTGATCGAAGACGGATAGTGTATGGTGGCTCATGGCCGCAACGTGGCACGGCCGATGCTCATATATATATTCGCTGGATAGGTGGGATCATATACAGCTATATAATGAAGAATTTGTATATGATCGTCAAAAGTGACAGCTCCAGAGATATCAAAAGCAGGTCACTAGTGATCTAGCAGGGGAAAAATAACGTGGGAGAGCGGCGATCGTGCTGATCTCCGAGATATGATCGATGGGGCTGAAATGGACGTTGGGAATCGGAGTCCCATGCTTCTGGCTGCTCCGTTGATGCTTATGACTTCACTTATGTCTGATAATCGTGGGTTCGCAAAGGTGGTGGAACTGGACCGAGCCCATAACGAAAATGGAAATCCAGTTTAGGGCGGATGGGGATTTTGAAAAGACCACAACTTAAATAGAGTAGTGGTAACTAGTCAGTTGGATAGTCGAATTGTCAATAGTAGAGGACGTAGAGCGTTCTACTGGAGAGACTGGAGTAAATAGGTAAATAGATAGACAGACTGAGCCCTCGTGGAGCAGACAACTGGATCGGATGTCTTGTGGAGTTGCTCGACAAGTGCATACTTAGTGCATGGTGCATGCATCCAGACGTAGGGAATCAACTGAAAGAATCGACAGGGATATCCGCAACGTGCGCAAATGGATGGCTGCGGTGAAAAGCTTATAGGCCGGTGGGGCCTTTGTCAGCCTCTGGAACGGAGTGACGACGGGGGGCATTCGAGTCTTCCTCGGCTGTGTCCTGGCACTTAATATATCTATCAACATGGCATATCCATGGATTCAGAGTCAACTATTGGTGAATTGCCAGAAATGGTGCTCATCCACCAGCGCTGTAGCATGATCCTCCTGACTCAGATATCGCCCTTGATGGCTATGCGCCCTGCACGGATATCACATTGAATCTCCATGAAGTCCAAGCTCAAGCTAACATTAGAGCTCTGTCCATGTGCAATGACGATGGAGCCTGATCATCCTGGTAGGGGGTCGCATGTTTGCTTTTCTTTGCGTTTAAGATGACGGAGAGAGTTAGATACCTAGCGGAGCGAATTACTTAATTTATTTTCATCAATTGGCGCTTTCATGGGTCCATCCTTATTATTATCATTGATCCAGAAAGAATTTTAAGTTTGGTTTTCTTCAGTGGGGATCGTGTCCACGTCGGATTTACTGCTGAGAAAAGAAGGAAGAGCCGCAAATTGAGAGACACAGAGATCCTGCGAGTACGGAGTACTCTCATAGATATCCATCAGGTTCGTATCAGGCAACAAGAATATGAATCCTTTTGATCAATCATATATTAAATGTCTATATACAGAGTCAACCTCGTGGACTCCCGCTCTAACAGGGGTATCCGACTGGAGGCCAACATGAGAAGAACTAAATGACTATCCACATCGATCAAACCACGATAAAACGCACAGAGCATGCTTAAAACCCGAATGCAATCTATAGGCCACGCGATGGCCCTCAGGAAAAATACCTAAATCCTCGGAATATACCTAGACCAAAGCCGGAAACCTGGGTAACCGGCACTCAACGCACGTGGTGGCTAGTCTCAGACACACTGACCACGGTGTCAACGGTCCTTCAAGCTAAGCCAGAACCTTCAGACTAAGCCAGAAATGAAACCGATGTCTCGAGATCCTGCGCTTTGAGCTCAGGACTCCTTACCGCAGCCGGATCCCTCGGCAGTGACACGAGGTACCTGCAAATGCCGGTTACCTGCCTTTGTTCGAGAATGATCTATCGATGCCGAATCGATCAGAATTGAAATTAGAGTAGACTTTCGCGAATTGTCGCGATGGACTTTTCGTTTGTCATGAGAAGAAGAAAGGAGTTTAAAGGAGGTTTGGTGGCGTGGTCTCATCCTGCCAGCAGACCTGTTGACTTTGATGCGGCTCCAGTCCGCGCGGCCACTGTCGCCAATGCTCTCGTCGTGAGGCTTGTTAACGTTAACGACTAGATCACCGCGACGGCTTTTGAGCAATGATGCGGTAACTCGTACTGCAGAGGCGCATGCGGTCCATCTTGACAAAAGCCTGACCATCCAGACAGAGCCGATTGATCAGAGTTTTGAAGTGGTGGGGCAGCGCATGCACCTTGACCAAACCCAGGATCACCTGTCGCATGGACCGGAAGTAAAAGTCCACCGTGTCAATCAGCGGCGCCTGCAGTCCGTCCAGACTGGCATTGTCCGAGCGCAACACCGTGAAGCCGGCATCGGCTAGCGCCCGCTCGAGAATCTCCGGGGTGGGTGTGCCGACTGCGCCGATGAGAGGCTTGACGCGACGCATGAGCTCCGCATGCTCCGGGTTCGACGGGTCGTAGGCAGGCAGGCTGACCCAGTCCAGCAGGGAGATCTTGGCGCCGGGCTTGACGACGCGGTAGATCTCGCGGAAGAGGGCCGTCAGGTCCTTGCACAGACTCAGGGCCTGGATCTGGTAGAAGGCGTCGAAGCTCTCGTCCTCGAACGGCAGCGGCAGCGAGTTGAAATCCTGCACGACGAACTTGTTCTGGAACCCGCGCTTGTCGTTGAACTTTTGCGCCTGCGCGATCTGGTTGGGATCGATGTTGATGCCGGTGACCTGCGCGCCGCCGGAGAATTGCGTCATGTGCGCCGCCACCCGCCCGCGACCGCAACCCAAATCCAACACCTTATCGCCGGGACCGAGCCCGATGTCGCGGGCGATCGACTCCTCATACAGCAACTGGTTCTCCAGCACGGTCGCCTTCTTGCTCATGAACGGGGGGATGTACATCTTCTCCACGTCGCCCAGCGCACACAGGTGGTTCAACACCCCGTAGTACGCTTTGAGGCAGTCGCCGACTTTCTCCTGGTAGTTAGGACCTAATGTCTCGATCATCTGCTTCTCGTCCGACCAGTCGAGGTTATAAATGACATATGACGCCATGAAGTCGTCAACCTGCTTTGGCGTCAGGTGCTGCAGGTATCGGAAGGCGGTCCAGAAGGACTTCCACCGCTTCGGGGAAGCCGAGTTGTGCAAGTCCGGACGGTCTTTACTTGCGGTCGAGGTCGCTGCTGCTGATGATGCTGCTGCTGCTACCTTCTGCTTCTCTTGAGCAATGACGTCCACGGAGCTACTGCTCTCGGAGCTGCGTCCGGACTGGCGCGATGACGCCAGGGCCGGTGCTGGGGACTGCGTTTCCATCATTGTTGGGGCGGTGATAGCGGACTGGGAAGAGAAGCTGAAATTCAAGGCGGGTGGGATATGCTGAATATCTATTATTATGGAGGCATCCTACGCAGACGGGCAAGCATCCCGGCTGAGAGAGCGGGGCTCGTTTTGAATTTATAAGCAGTTAAAGCACGGTTGAGTCAAAGAGAAAAAATTTCTGTTGCATCGGCTCGTTTTCCATGAGGGGCAAGCTATCTAACTCGGATAACCGCCATATGACCTGCCATGGGTAATCGGGGACCCTAAAGGGTGACGCGATGGCCGCAGTGGGCTAATTACTCTTCTTTGTCACCAGATCTGGAAGCTGACGGAAGGGTCGGATGTGGAGGTCCATCCTGCCATTAGTAGTGGAAAAAGAAAAATGTGCTGATAATCCAACGGACGGGATAAGACGGCAGATGATCCGGAAACGGGCATGAGCATGAGCAATAGCGCTGGGATTGTCTCCTCACACGAACAGACCCCTGCGAGATGAGTCAAGTAAGCTGGTGGTTGGTAAGGCTTCACAGACCGCTGCTTCCCCTCTATCGTGAGGGGTTGCTTATACTCCGTAGTCTTCTACTCCTACTTACTACTAACTGTCTATGACATAATTCACGATTGACCCTGCCAAGACACTCTCCGAACGAAGACCCATCGTAGCTCTATGACAGGGCTTAGCCTTTACAGTGGAAGAAGCTATGCACAGAATCTTGTACACAGTACTCAACCCTACCGGGATGTCTCGGCTCGGGTTCGGTGCGGCTTTTTGCTTCTTTGGACTGTCTGATTGATGGAAAGGGCTGGGCCTTTGATCTTGGCATCCATTTTGGGCTTAGTCTGCTGTGAGGATTTACTCCAATAAGGTAACTCGCCCCGATTTCGGACTTTGTCCCGGGCACTTGCCCCATTGCTTAGTCAAGCTGGCTGTCATCATCGATTTGGTTAAACCCGGATATCCGAATGGCCGATCCGAACTATAGTTGTCCAAGACTCCAGATACATCCCCAGGTCACTATAATCAGAGATATTCAAATATTGTTTTGTTGTCGACATATCAGTATCTGGTAACATGCTTTGTGTTTGCAATAATCAAATTGATGGTCGATCCATAGAGCCTTGGTTACATCACCCGGCCCTGCCGATCCCATTATCAAAACTGCTGTGATCTTATGGTTCACTCTCGGACCTCTGACGATCCATACAGGTCCTCGTCGTATTCACTCCATTCAGAAAGGATTGTCTGGTCAGTTTTAACAACCGCTGTCTACCGCTAACAACCGCAATACTCAGTACAATATGCTATCCGCGCTAGCCACGTCATTTCATAGATCAACCCTGTCATGACTCACGCCCTATGGCCGGGGTGCGGTACTTTGTATTTGTCTGTAGTGTTTGGAGTAGAGTCTGATCACTCGAGCGGGGTTGCGGAGACAGCCCTGGAAGAACAATAGAACATAATGTCCGCTAATTCCCTAAAGACCGAAATTATCCATTGATTGTTAAGTAGACATTCCGGAATAATCGGGTATCATCTATATCAAATAGTCACGTGCCTATTGTGTATACAGAAATAGAATCATTGTGACAACATGAGCATAACTATATTTTCTGTATATCAATATGTAGATGTAAAGCCAGCAAGGTCCGAGGTTAACCAACGCAGGAACCCAGTCCCAATATCCTGGGACAAACTCAGATAAGCTTAAGCTTAACCAGTACCAGTCTCGCCCAGCCCGATCTCTTGACAGAGCTCCGGCTCCATGGCATTCCCTGCAATGACGAATCCGAAGTATGAGGACGGCCCACCGTTAGCTGCAGGTGATGCTTAGGCTGAAGGTAAACGTGCACTGGAGTCGACCGACGGGGAGGGGAGGCCAGTGGCGCTCGGCTGTTAGGTAGCAGCATTTCCAGGCGGGAGGGTCGGAGTATCGGACTGGTGGCTTAGTTAATCGTGGTGGTGTGTTGGTGTGTGAGGTATCAGGTACTTGGACTTGAGGTCTACGTATGTGTCTTATTCTTCGTGGTGTACTGGGCCTGCTCGCCTGAGGGTTAGGGTTAAGCTCCGTCCGTTTGGACTATGCTGTTGCCAGGACGAAATGATGTATGCGATAGAGAGATACTGGCTCTGGGATGTGGTATATTGAGAAGAGACTGAACTCAAGGTACTATACTCGTCTTGAGCACGGTCTCTGATGGCATCATGCTAGTGATATCGGCCTTCAATGGACTTGACCTGGTAAAAGCATGCGTACTTACCATTTGCCTGAACTTAGTATCCGTGTTATGATTGAGCAAGGAACAACTTTGCAAGAAAGTCTGGATTTCCAAAGTACAGTCCTAATCATAACCCGTATACGGTAGTCTTGAGAGACTCCTGTGTCAATGATACATCCGCCAGCTAGAAGATCTCCACTCTGTCAGTCAGTGATCTATATGACTCATCCAGTATGACATCTCACTGCGTTTCTGGAGTGGACTAGATTCCGTGCGATGCCGGAAAGGGAACAGGTAGGACAATCCGAAATAAGCATGGAGATTCTCATTTGTCACTTTCAACCCCGAGTGATTTCTAATATTATCTATCACCCTAATCGTCTGAATAATATGTAGATTCTATGATAAATCTTTGATTCTAACTCGGCCAATCTATCACCGATTCGACCCTCTAAATCGACAACACAGCTCCCCACACAGGCAGACCTTATTCAACTGCTTCCAATAATGATCCGAGTAATCGACCGTGATCTCTCGCCCCGCTACTATACCTCGCGAAACCACAATGATCCGCTCCTGCCCGCGCCAGTAGAACCGCTGGAACTGGCTGTTTGGGCGGCATGAATGGTTGATAAACCGGGTGAAGTTGCCCATCTCGCCTTGGTAGATCTGGTACGTCCTGCCTTTCGTGCCACCTACCATGACATCCACGCCGGAGATACCGTTTGTTATGAGCCCTACGAATTCGCCGATTGCCGCCCCGCGCTCAAAGTTCTGCGGCTTTCATCAGCTGGTGTGCCTAAGAACCACCTAGAACGTGCACTCACCACACGCGCCACTACGCCGTTGTTCTTTCCGCTGGCGGTACTGAATATCTGCACCGGAGCAGGTCCCTTGACGCCCCCAAATAGCGCCGGGAAACACGAGCATTGGTTCTGTTCAACGTCGTCCGCCTGTTTTGACTCGCAGACCTGGCAGATATCCGGATCCAGATCGGGTACGCGACGGGGATCTTCTTCCCCGAATACTGTCGTATCGAGTACACACTCGTCGATGAAGCGATAATGAAACCCGTTCGGCAGGTTGAGGTGCGCATAGGTCGCGTGCAGGGGTAATGCAGGCTCTCCTGTCACTGTTACCCACTCGTGGGGGTGGCCATGGTACTGGTGCCGGGTGTCCCCCTGGCCGATGACGTGCAACAGATCCCTCCATTCGGGATGGAGGGTATCCGCCGCAACTTCCAGACTCGACCGGATATGGCGCAAACGAGTCGAGAAACCCTCGCCGAAGCCGGTGCGGTATTTGCAGAATCGGTAGACACCGAAGCTGGCGAAGATCAGGCTGGGCCAGCCGCCTGCATCTTTGATTTCCTTGTAGCCGCGCCAGATTGCCCTATTTCGTCAGTGTGGGGCAGAAAACGAAATGGTGGATTGAGTACATTCTGTTTCGGAGATCCTTCTCCTTCCAGTTGAGGACTGCACAGGCCTCTTTGAGCGCGGTCATCCGTGCTTCAGTACTGGACAAATGCGGGTTCTCCAGCCGGATGACAGCAATACGCGCTTCATAGCATTCAATCCAGTAGGCCTGGACGACCATCTCCAAGGCGCGAGACGACTGACTCTGGTTGTAGTATTTCATGCATAGAGTATTGACAGCTCGGAAGACCTTTCTTGTCAGCCAAGTTCTATCCAACTCGAGCACCGCTCACTCACATCTCCGCTGACTCCGGTTCGGATGTTAATCGTGGGTTCAACCACCTGTTCGATTAGCAAAGTACATGCAAGTCGATCAGAAACATACAGCAGGGGTTCGGCTCAGCTTCACAGGTGAGTACATCTGTCTCCAGATTCCCGCGATCAACTTGTCGGTTGATGTAGGCTCCAGGACCGGCGCCACGTAATCTTGTCCGGCTTTTCTGCGCTGCGGAAACCCGGTGTCACTGTGGACCTGCCGTACTGATCCGGAGGCTGTGTCTTGATCCTCGCTGTGAGAATCGCCACTATGGGCCGGCTCTGGAGACTCTACTGTTGTCCCGGCAGGCTGAAGATGTCGGGAAGGTCGCAAACCGCTGACCGTTTTATGACGTTTGGGAGGATGGACTTCCTCATTTTGGATTGATCGGGGGGTCAGCGGTGTGTTCTCGTCCGTTTCATCGTCCTAGGAAATCAGTATGCTAATTTTACCAGTCGAAGATGGTCATACTCGAGGTGGAGTAGCAGTCGGCGTGATAGGGGAACATGGAATCACTTGTCCATTCTTAAGATCAATGGAGCCCTAACCAATGTAAGAATATAGGATATAGACTACTCAAAAAATAATTACCAGAAGTATAGAGTCAGGCAGAGGTGAACGAGATGCATGGTTTGTAGATATGGACGCTTCGATCCGCAGGACAAGATGATCTTTGCTCTCGTAACTCTTGTTTGCTTTATGATTACTCAAAATCGATGCCAGCTGCGACGTAAAATGCTGGTTGCCCAGCAGCGTGCACAATTGCGATACCAACGGAACCGCCATGCCATTGAATCGAGAGATATCAAACCATAGATGAAGAGGACGTTGTGTATAGTGTGACTCCCCTATTCGTCCTTAGAATCTGCCTGCGCAGAAAAAGCTGCTGACTCATCGATCAGAACCCTCAACTCCACGACGTCAAGCATCCCGATTGGCTCCAGAGTATATCAACACAAACATGAAGCGTTGAGTACATGAGACGATGCGTAGGAGCATTTTTAAGATGAAAATGGAGGAAAAGAGGGATGACTGCAGTACGCCTTATGCTGTGCCTCAATGCCCTCTCAGCACCCATATCGCTTCATACATTCTCCAGATTGTCAGCCAATATCAATATCCTCCCCACCGGGAGATTTCGAGGAACGTTCGATCATCCTCTGATGATGAGGCCAAGAAATCCCGAGACAGAGAATTGCATAAAAGCGCTTCCATTCCTCTTCTAAACTCATTCCTCCTCGCACGTCATATCCTGGCACCTCCATATAGTCCATCTCATGCATCATCTACCCCATCATGTCCTCTGACCAGCCTCTGACAAGAGAGAAATCATGGCTGTCATATACTTACGAGGGCCGCAGAGGGTGGAAGTCACTCCGCGCTCTCAATCTCTTCCAGGGCATGTATCACGACGTGCGTCGTCGGCTACCCTACTACTGGAGTGATATCACAGATGCGTGGACATACCGCGTCGTCGCAAGTACTATCCGGATGTACTTTGTCAAGTGCGCTTTTTCTTTGCTAGCCATTGAGGCCGTTTACTGATATCCTGCAGCATGCTTCCTGCCATTGCATACACGCTGGATATGTACCGCCGCACTGGCGAGTTCTACGGCATCAACGAGGCTCTCTTCTCGTCTGCCATGGCAGCAATGGTCTTCAGTGTCTTGGGTGCGCAGCCCTTGACCATTGTCGGTATAACCGGTTTGATCTCCCTGTTCAACTATACCATCTACGATATCGTGACTATTTACGAGCCGGCTATCTACCCGAATTTCATGTGCTGGACTGCCATCTGGGCGGCGATCTTTCACTGGATCGTGGCTGTCTGTAACCTGTGAGACTATATGCGCTATGTGACGAACTTTTCGTCCGAGTCGTTTGGCGCCTATGTTGGCATTATCTACTGAAGTGAGCTCATCTGCGTTTATGGGGAGTCGTAGCGTACTGACAGTAGTAGTCAAAGGAGTAGAGGAACTAGTGAACGAGTTTACCACGAACGGTAACACAGCCGGGTTCATGAGCACTATGATTGCCATCCTATACTTTCTCACCATCTACGGCCTGGAACGGCTCGGGTCCAGTACCATCTGGAAACCGTGGTTCAGGGGTTTACTGGCCGACTACGCATATGTGGTATGCATTCCCCGACTCACCAGACCTTCATCAACTCACATCGTACAGATCGGGACCATCTTCTGGGTAGGATTCTCGCATATACCCGGTAATCTCAAAGCCACCCACGTCTCCTTCGTCCCAATCACCCGGGCCTTCTACCCCACCCAGTCGCGCGGCTGGCTCATCCATTTCTGGGAACTCGATGCCAAATGGGTCTTCGCCGCACTGCCCTTCGGGTTCCTGGTGATGCTCCTCTTCTACTATGACCACGTATGCCTCTCCCATTCCGTCAAACAAACAGAACTAACCTAGAAAAGAACGTAAGCAGCCTAACCGCCCAGGCAAGACAATTTCCCCTCAAGAAACCCGCCGGGTTTCACTGGGATTTCTTCCTCCTGGGCTGCACCACCTTCCTAGCAGGCATCACCGGCATCCCCATGCCAAACGGCCTAGTCCCCCAGGTAAGCCCTACCCCGTTTCTCTCGGTTCTAGCTAAACGATATCCAGGCCCCCGTGCACACCGACTCCCTAACCATCTACGAAACCTCCCTCCGCACCATCGCCACTTCCGAAGGTGAGGGCGCCGAAATCCACCGTCCAATAATAACCGCCACCGCCGTCGTCGAGCAACGCCTCTCCCACTTCCTCATGGGTCTGCTCATCATCGGCACCATGACCCGCCCGCTGCTGATCGTCCTGCACACGATGCCCGCCGCCGTCTTCGCGGGCGTCTTCTTCACCGTCGGATGGGGCTCCATCGAGTCGAACGGCATCCTCCAGAAACTCATTTTCCTCGCGCGCGAGAACCGCTTCATCCAGCGTGATGAGCCGCTGTTGACTGTGCGACGGCGCAAGATCGCGTTGTATATCGCCTGCCAGGCGGTGGGCGTTACGGCGACGGTGGCCATCTCGCAGACCATTGCGGCAATTGGGTTCCCGATTCTGATCATTGCGTTAATTCCGTTCCGGGTGTGGGTTATGCCGAGGTGGTTCAGCGCCGAGGAGCTGGATGTCATGGATGATTTGACGGCGAATAATAGTGCGGTGCTGGCGAGTCTGGGGGGTCCGCCGCGGTTTCCGGGACAGCCTGATAATGAGAGGTTTAGGTCGGCGAGGTAGAGGGCGGGAAGTATTCATCGTTAGGTATGGGATGTATTGCTAGAGATGATGCAAGAGAGAAATCGCGTGCGTTTGGGAGTAAAACTTAGAACGCTCAAGTACTAGAACGATCTGTGTGAATAAGAACAACAACATGAACTTTTCCGTTCTACAATTTACATTGAACCCTGGTATGGAGGACGCATTACACCTCTTCCAGGATGCTTACGATAAGCCAGCAGAAATCTCCCAATGGCCAGGTGACCATTTGCCAGTGCCAGTTTCGCCGCTCTTTTTCTCTTGATCTCAAACTCTTCGGTATCCGGGTGATAATTCAATAGGAGATGTAGAGTGTCAAGCCTGCCGTTCCCCGCAGCGGCTTCAATGGCGTTTAATCCCTGCTCAATTGCAGGCGCTCCATTGACATCTGCCCCGGCCACAAGCAGCATCATCACAATGCGAACGTTGCCGTGCATCGCGGCCCCTTGCAAGGCTGTGACACCACCCAAATGTGCTGCTGGAGCATTGACATTGGCTCCATGAGCCAGTAGGTATTCAGAGAGCTGCACATAACCCGAGCTTGCAGCCTCTTGGAGAGCTGTCCGGCCTCGGACCGGGCTGGGCAAGCCATTGACATCAGCCCCATGATGCACCAGAAGCTCCGTCATAACCCGATGGTTTTGTGACACTGCGGTTTGCAGCGCAGTCTTTCCTCCATGCTTGTTTGCCGGTGCATTGACGTCGGCGCCTCTTTCGAGCAGTAACTGGACGATGTCGATATCGCGCGCATAAACGGCGGCCTGAAGGGCCGTGACATTGCCAGGCAAGCTGCTTTCCCGGCGATGGTTTACGTTGGCCCCTGCAGAAAGCAGACACTGCACCACTCTAAAGTTGTGTCTTTCTACTGCAATTTGAAGAAATGACTTCTCCGACTGAGGGCACGGGTTATTGTTAACGGCTGCTCCTCCCTTGAGCAGCAGCTCCAGCAAAGGCACGTCGCATTTCCAGCAGTTCAGAGCTAGCCCTATGACTTGATTCTTCGTGATGGAGTCAGATGATATGATGTCAGGTTCTTTATCGAGGAAAAGCTGGAGTAGCTCTTGATCGCATCTCTCGGCGGCAGCTCCCATCACCGAGATCCCGTCAAATTTAGCTCTGTCTGACTTGATCTTCGCGCCGTGCTTCAACAGCATCTTCACCATAGACACATGGCCGTTTTCAACCGCTGCCTGCAAGGCTGTACGACCTCCAGACAGCCAAGGCGGGCCGTTGACGTCTGCTCCGAACTCTATCAATATCTGGGCCAGGCCTTCATTGCCTTGGGACGAAGCTTGCTGCAGAGGGGTTCGTCTTGTCTGCGCGCAAAATCCCACATTTGCGTTTGCACCCTTTTGGAGGAGCTTCCTCGTCATCTCCAGGTCTCCTTGTCTGACTGCGGCATGAAGAGGCGCGGACTCCTTCTGGTCTTTGAGGCCCTCAGTATTCGCGCCTGCGCGCAGCAGTAGGTGAACTATTTCTTTCCTTATCGCCGAGTCTCTGATTTGGATAGCTTCCTGGAGCGCGGTGACCCCTTCAGTGTGAATTGGGTCTGTATTGACAGCTGCATTTGCATTAAGAAGAATCCTGACCCCTTCGATGTTACCCGCGGCGACTGCTATCTGCAGGGCAGTTTTGCCTTTGCGTAAGGCCGGCGGAGCATTTACATCTGCCCCTTGCCTAAGCAAGATGCTCAACACCGTCGTATCCGAATGTACAGCAGCAGCCTGAAGTGCCGTCCTTCCACGATAGACGCCCGCTGGGGCATTAACATCCGCTCCCTTCCGCAGGAGAATCTCGATGATCCTTTCATTCCCGACCATGGCAGATATCTGAAGCGCGGTGTGGCCATACGTTCCTTTCGGTCTCGCGTCGAGATGAGCTCCAGCGCTCAAAAGCATGCGAGTCATGGTGATATTCTCTTTCCGGACAACTGCTTGCAACGGTGTAAACACGGCCGGAGTATTATCAGAACCCCAGTTGTACTCATCATCATCAATCTCCTGATCTAGCACTGCAGGTGGGCATTTTCTCAAGCTGGCGTTGACAGCGGCGCCTTCCTCCAGCAGAAGCTGGACCACCTCCCAATTCTCATTTTCCGCCGCTATAAGGATGGCTGGCTTAAAGGAATCGGGAAGGCCAGTACAACCCATAAGGCAGCTTTTGTCTGGCTTTTCTTCTGATTCGGAGTCTGCATCGCTGTCTGTATCGCTGTCCTCAAGGTAATCGGAATGTCGCTTGTTGCAACGGTAACCTGAGCGACAATCAATGTCCGCGCCTGCAGCGATTAAAAGCTCGACTATTTTGGAATCGCCAGAGTTACGGCATGCCATTTGCAGAGGTGTACCGGTCTTGGAGGTTGTGAAAGAGTTCGGGTTTGCTTTGTTATCAAGAAGGAGTTGCACCAAGTTGGGCCCTCCATGCTTGACAGCAAGTTGCAGAGGCGTGAGTCGGGCACAGTCTTGCGGCGGATTGACATGAGCTCCAAACTGAAGCAGAAGGCCCACAATATCAAGTCGTTTGTACCAAGCGCATGCAGTGTGTAGTGGTGTCTCCCCATCCACTGCTAGGTTGGGGTCTGCACCGGCTTCCAGCAGCATTCTCACACACTCCACGTTATTGTGCTTGGATGCTCGATGAAGAGCTGTTGTTCGCATGCCCTGCCCACTAGGTGCATCTAGGTCCGCTCCAGCCTCGATAAGAATTCGACAAATCTCAATGTCTCCCACGGCCGCCGCACTAGCTAATAGGTTGCTCATGAATATCTCGATGGTCGTGGTCGTTGACTTCAAGAGGGCTTTGAGTCGTGACTGAGAGCTGCTTTTCTTGATAAGCAATACCAGACTATCCGTTGACATCTGGCTCATCATGTTATTGGATAACAGGTAGACACAGAGACCGAGATAGTGAGACAAATTCTCCGGGGATGGCGATTGGAATATAGCCTCCGCTCGCCTTGTCAAGTCGCGGTTCGAATCCCCCACGGTGATAGGCTCCAGGACTGAAATTGGATCGTTGGAATAAGGACCACTGTACGAACCGGCCTGCAATAAGAGTGTGAAGCGGGTCTCTTTAGCAATGGTGTTGCTGATGGAATCAACGTCGTACTGAATATGTGTGCTCAAATTTGTAGATGTCGGCGTACTAGCAGACGTTGGTACAGGCAGACGATGGTCCAAGGTAGCATCCCCGAGATAGGAATGAGTTGCGGTGGGTGCCTTATTCCCTTGGAAAGAAAACTGCGAATGACTCGGGTCCGGGAGCTCAATGTGGAAGGCGAGAGGATCCCGTTCGACGGATTGGAACAATGTTGGAGTTCCAACACCGATACCACCAGCGCTTTGGCCCTGGTACCAGTCCATCGCATGGACGTCTGCGGAACCGTCAGGCACAGTACCGTCTATTTCTGATCGGGGCGTACCCACGACGACCCCTTCAGGGGTCTTGGGGTCTGAGGTGATGAACAGGTCAGCATATCAAGGAGGAGAGTGGGAAGAAGGACAGCGAAAGGAGCCATATATAGGTACGCACCAGAGTCTCCCATCCACAAACACTGCGACAATAATGAAGCATGACGCGCTGTTTCCTTTCTGACCTTTGGTTCAGGGATGAGGTTGCCGTGCACCCTGACATCGCCCGCGTCTTTTCCGTCTCTTTTTCGCTTCTCGCGACGATGCGCAACGAATTTCCAGTCTTCGTCGGTCAGATTCTTTTTGAACCCCCACTTCTTGAACTGCCGAGTATACTGAGGTGCGCTGGGACATTCTTTTAGCCAGGACTGAACGAATTTCTCGAGGTATTACCAACTGACCTTTTGCGGAAACTGTGCCTCTGGGACATATGCTCTTGGATCTGCTCTAAAGTCCATCGCTGATCCAGCCACAAGGCCTTGAGCTCGTCGCGGTGACTCTGCCATTCGGTCTCTTCTTCCTTGGTTCGAGCCATGAGTTCTTTTTTCGTTGCTTGTTTGAGGACTCTTTTTCTTTCGAGTTGGGCTGTCCATGGCTCATTTATATTTCTCCATCTCCAGGAGTGCAGACAGCACCATACGAAAGGGAAGAATTTTCTCGCTGAATCCTCATTGGATCGGGCCAGAAGATACAGATTATGTTTCTGGAGGATCAGCCTTGTCGAGTAAATAATGGCTTGCGGCTGTGTATATTCTGGTGTCGACAAATGACAGCAGGCAACGTCGTGCAGGACAAGCCTGATCCCTGACACGGGGCGTTATACATCCTTGTTTTCATTGTTTCTTTTTACCCCCTAATTTCCTCTTTCTTTTCTTTTCTAATTTTTTTTTTTTTTATTTTTTTCCTTTTTCCCCCCAGCCACACCGCCAGTCCGCAATTCTGGTAATCCTACAAAGGTACTTTGTACGTTGCCCCTTAATTCTTCTCTTCAAGTCTTTCGCGACAGTCCAGAGTTGCCAGAATTATGTCTAGGCAGCACAAGGGTAGCGGTCCCCGGGACAAACCTGATACGTTGCAAGCCTTCCGCAGGATTGGATACAAGTTTCTAGGTGGAGAGCAGTTGCAGCTCAAATCCCAGTTTCATGGCCTCCGGAAATATCCTCTGCTTTTGCCAACATTGTATACTGTCCTGATTACCCCATTTGCATTATCCATGCTGGGTGTTGGTGCTTTCAATGGCACGCGACGCCTGTACAGCTTCAGAATGATTGTAAGCGATCTTTAAATTTGGATGAAAAGAGATTATTGGGTACCGTTAGAAGGTATATACAGGTGGAAATGCGGCCTAAATCGCCAGGTCAAGTTTGGAATGACCTAGGCATAAAGTACAGCCTCAAGTTCTTGATTTATCCTTGTTCTGAATTTCTTGTACTAAACGAATCGAGGTACTAATTGAGTCGGGGAACTACGCTACTAAGTATCTGTGCCATACGCACCCTCGCCGGCGTGGTGAGAGTGCGACAATTAGTTCATACTCCGTAGTTAGGCAGGGAGTTGAGAGCTTGCTCAGCTGCTATTGGTCGAGATCAGAATGCAGCTAAGACTTAGCTCTTCCTGGTGGTCAAGCTGTCTGATTGGTGTTTACCATAATCAGTATTGTCAAGCTTCATCACCAGATGGATTTGGCATCTACACTCAGTGCTTTCATGCCACTTTTATGGAAGATAAAAGACATAAAAGGCTCTTTCCTCCATCTCAGCATGTCTTTCCTTCTAGACACAATTAACAACTTCCATTGCCTGTCTGTCTTCTGTGAATAGACCAAAGAATGGGCTGGTCAGTGGAGGCCATCATTGCACTTGTCACTCTACTTGTTACTGGCCCTGCATCCCTTCTTCTACTCTGGAATCATGTCAGAAACCGCAATAGACAGATTTTAAGAGGTGAGTGCTTTATTTACCGGAGTGAGATAGAAAGAAAATTACCCTAAATCGTCATCCAGATCCTCATCCAGACCGACAACAGTCTCAAGCCATGCTCCCATGGACGCTGACAGCAACGGATACCGAGTATAACCCGCGAATCCTCGAGGCTGGCCTGGGCACCTACTATGTTCCTGCAGGTCAGTGCTACGATATCACCAGAGCTAGGTTGAGCCTTTTTACCGCCTGTTCTTACGGCTAATGATCTTCAATCTTGAGCTGCGCAGAGATATCTATCCGTCAAAGAGCCATTGCAGAGGTCCAGGTGTCGTATAGATTGGCGGACGATTAGGCACTCCAGATGAAGTGCCTTCGGAAGCCATGACGGAGGTTGTTCAAGCGAGAATGGGTATAGACAACATCAGAGTCGGGATGAATGATAATGCTCCTTTACCAAAAGCCTATGTTGTATCAAAAGCGTGTATATTACCATACATGAGTGACATTCCTTTTCTGCTACCCGCTTATTCCAGCCTTTCACGCAAGCTTGAGTAGCCCGAGAACGCCAAGTATTGATAGCAGACTTCCTACATCCACTGAACCTACATTCTTCAGCTGGCAGTACACCTGCGGCAGGAATTGCCGTATCGCACAGTCAGCGAACACGACCGTCCCAGACCGGGTCATGGAAATGACAATGAAATCCGCAGTCTCCAGGAAACGCGCGGGGAGAACATGAGCTAGACCAAGCGTGTCGCTTTGCGCAGACAGCCCGCTGGTGGAGGGATTAGCGGCAACGAAAGCCGGAATATGGCATCCCGGCGCTTGCCCAGCGCCAGCCAGGTCAAAGGGGGTGGACGGCGTTCCACTCGTCCTGGTGGAGGTAGAGCAGGGTCAGGAATTTGAGGAGACGGGTGTAGTTGCGCGGATGCGTCTGGCGGTCTATTGGAGCGAGACACACGAACCGCTTGTCGGGCTGCGGTTCTTGTGTCAGTGCAGACGCTGGGTAGTCAAACTCTGAGGACGGCGATGGAGCGCGAAGCTGGTAGGTCTGCGAATGTGTGAATTCATCCAGGTGCTGAGTGGCAGTTCACACACTGACATCTCGAAAGTCCTAACTGGCCGCTGCCCATTTCTCTACCAGAAGGCATCGTTGACGTTCTTCATCCTCAACGTTGGATGCTGGGCGCCATTCGTCCCGGAGGGGATGTGATATGTGAGTTATTGATAAATAGATAGATGACTTGCATGCATACTCTTACGAATTGCAGCCACACCTTGGTCTCTTCTTGAAGGTCTGACGGGTATAACTTGGTTGGATGAAGATGGATGGTCGCTGGGATCCCGCCAGGCCAATATGATTGCCATGTCAGATGCAACATTGGTAGCTTGTGAGAAAGGAATCCCCTATTTCTACGCAGCAGAATCCGAAAGTGTTTGAAATGGAAAAGAGAGGCGAGTCCGTAAGCTAAGTAGTCCCGGACGTTGAGGGCCAAAACTAGGGCTAAATAGAGTCCCACTTTATGTCCGTGGTGCTAACATGTTGAGAGCAGGAGGTAATTTCTGGATCCGCCTGTGTAGTGGATATTCATGAAGCTTTATAAAGCTTTATCAAGGTCATCCGGATGAATTGCTTCAAGGTCATCAGACAAGCTAACAGCTGTCACCGTCAATCTCTGCCTAAGTCACCCTGAAAAATGTTAAGGACTGTGTTGCTGCAGCTTGGGATGCGACACTGATAACAAGTAGCACGAGCTTCGGTTTAATGATAGAGACAGGTCAGGAGTTCACAACTTCTATAAAAAAATATATACACTATCGTAAGTATATACAACAAATCACATCAACCCTCAAAATCCTCCCGGGTGATTCCACTCTGATCGCACATACTGCGGAAGATGCCGCCCGGCTTCTCCCACAGGGCCAGAGGGGTGTCGAATTCGGCGATCTGCCCTTGATCCATCACACAGATGCGATCATAATTGATGATTGTCCGTAGACGATGAGCAATACAAAGCAGCGTCTTGCCTTGAAATCCTTGCGCCATCGTCTCCTGGACTTTCTGGTCCGTCTCAAAGTCAACGGACGAGGTTGCCTCGTCACAAATGATGATGCGGGCATCGCGAACGAGGGCACGCGCTAAGGCCATCAGCTGCCGCTGGCCGAGCGAGAAGTTGTGTCCCTCCTCTTCGACGATGGTATCAAGGTGCAGTCTCTGCGCCGTCTGCTGCTTTTCGTTCATCGTCGACGGCGTAAGTGTGCCCTCCTGGGACTCGTCCTCTGGCAGCTCCTGGCCGACGAGATGTGCCTTGCGTAACGCTGCCCATAATTCCAGATCCGTATGCTCATTGAAAGGATCAAGGTTCGAGCGGATCGTGCCGCGGAAGAGCGTCGGATCCTGCGGGATAATAGCAAGACGAGTCCGAAGATCATTCAGCCCAATTGTCGCAATATCAATGTCATCGATCTTGATACTTCCTCCGGAAAGCTCAGTGAGACGAAATAGCGCGGCCATGATGCTGGATTTGCCGGCACCTGTTCGCCCCACAATGCCAATACGCTCCCCGCCTCGAATGTCCATCGTGAGCCCCTTGAGCACCAGAGGTAGCCCGTCACGGTACCGCATTTGCACATTTGAGAAAGCAATTCTCCCCTTGTCGGGCCAGCTCGGTGGCACCTCGGCCAACTGAAGGGGCGCTTCCTCGTCCAAGCTGGTGCCATAGTAATGGATCCGCTCAGCGGCATTCATATTATTCCCAACTTCAGCGAACTGCCGGATGGTGAATTGCAAACTCAAAGTGATGGTCAAAACGTATGACAGCACCAAACCGGAGATACTTGGCCCGACGTTGAAACGAGAGGTGACGACCAGAATCCCCACCACCAGGATCATGAGACTGCCAATAGCATCAAGGCGAATCGAGAGCCATCTCTGGTTGGAGAAAGTCAGGAAATATGCACCATTCATTGAGTCGATGCTTTCATGCAGATTCCGCTGAAAGTGCCCCTCCATTTTATACGCTTGGATGCTTGCGACACCAGTGATGGCCTCGCCAAAACGTGAAAACACCGTCGAGCGAAGCACTGAATCATGCCGCTTCAGGTTCCGCGCAGACGCTCTATAGTAGGCCGCTGCGAGTAAGAAAAAGACGAACAGGGGACCTAATGCAATAGCAAACTGGTCATGGTGGTTAGCAACTTCATTCCACGCACCTCCCCCTATGGTACTCACATAATGATAAAATGCGATGATCAACCCCATCGTGGCCAGGATCTGAGTGAACGTGAAGGCGAACATGCGAATAGATTCGCCAAGTTCACTGTCCATCACCTGGACATCCCTAGAAAACCGGTTCGTGATCCGTCCTAACGGGGTTGTGTCAAAGAAGGCCATCGGGGCACGCAGGACTCGGTATATTGCGCGCTGCAGCATTGTCTTGCTAGAATGCGCTGCAGCAATGGTCACATGTAGTGCGAAGCCGTACATGGCCAAAGCCTGTGCGGCACAGATTCCCGCATATATTCCCATATACTGGCCAACGGTCAAGTTTTTAAACCTGTCGGACGTCCAATAAGAGACCCACAGGCCTGTCATAATTATACCACCGTTGAGACAGGCCAGCAGCACGAGAAAAGCAATGAAGTTGAGGAAGAAAGATCCAGAGGCGGTGATATAAGCTTTCCAAACAGCCCACCCAACTGACCCCGTCGCTACCTCTTCCTTTGACATCAAAGCAGCTGCTGGTTTAGCCTTGTCAATTTGGTCTTTCGCCGGTTCGACTTCGTCCGAATTTTGGTCGACATCGTCATCCGATTGCTTTTCCTGTTGCGAAGTGCTTGACATCAATTCCCTAAAGTGTTCATTTGTTCGTACAAGATCGTCAAAGGTACCAATAGCGTCGATGGAGCCTTCCTTCATCACAATAATTCGATCACACCGGCTAAGGACATGAAGCTGATGGGTGGCCAAGATACGACACTTATCCTTGAGAAGACCGCAGATTGCTTTGTCCATGATATGACGTCCAACATGGGCATCAACTGCTGAAAGCGGGTCATCCATGAGAACGATATCTGCCTTGGAGTAGACGGCTCTGGCGATATTGATCCGCTGCTTCTGGCCTCCAGAGACCGTGATGCCTCGTTCCCCAATCTCCGTCTGATCCCCGTTCGGGAAAATATCCAGATCGGGTCGTAGAGCGCATGCGTCAATCACGCGGTCGTAGAATTCTTCGTTGTAATCACCTCCAAAGAGGATATTCTCTCGCACTGACACATTCTGGATCCAGGCGTACTGCGGGCAGAACGATCGACTCGCGCCCATTCGAATTTTTCCCTCCGTCAAGCGCATGTCACCCGCCAGAGCCCCAAGCAACGAACTCTTGCCACTCCCTACAGTTCCTATGACAGCAAGCAGTTCATTGCGTCCCGCCTCGAAGTTGATATCGGTGAGTTTGAACGGCGCATGCTCAGGTGTGTCACTGTTGTCGTTGGGCGGGCTGCTGGGCGTTGCGACTTTCGGCGAGACCTGGCCAGGTTTCGGCTTCTCTTCCTTCTTCTCTTCTCCCTTGTTGCTCTGCACTTGTTCCCAGGTGAATGATGCATGCTCGACCTCAATAGCCTTGTCCATGGTTGTGTCCCATTCGACCGGGTCATCCTTTTCCTCGGCCTGAAGGAATTCCTGGATTCGGTTCATAGCAGTCCACGCATCGGTCATCTGTGTGATAGTCAGGTTGAGCATGATTAGTGGCATACGAAGCACATTGAACAATGCCAAGGACGCAAAAATGCGAGCCGGGGACATGCCATGACCCGACAGAGCGTATGTGACAAAAGACAGCAGCGATGCGAATGTTGGTAAAGAGACCATGCACACTACAACAGCGTGTCGGACAAACAAGAGTCTTTTGATGGAGCCAATCTCGCGGTTGCGAACGGCCTCGAGTCGCTTTAGGAAGCTGCTTTCCCAGCCAAAGAACTTCACGAACCTGACACTATACACTATTTCTCGGGTCAAAGTGACTCGCTGGTCGGTGATTTTATTGATGGCTCTTCGAAAACGCACCAGGAGGCGCATTCCCCCCGCCAGAGCAAAGACTCCGACAACCAGGAGGGCGTACCCGGCAAGTGCACTGTAGCCGATGTTGACAATCAGTATGATCAGAGCGACGATAAGACCGATGGGTGAAACCCAAATCATATGAAGCATGCCGCAAGCCGTATCGATACGATCCACATCCACGCCCAACAACGTGGTGATACGTCCATTACTCCAGCCGGCAGTCTCTTTCGCCGCATCGTTTGCTGCTGCGTTGGGCGGACTTCCTTCGGTGGGTTTCTGTCCCGCGTCATCGATGGGCTTCCCGCCAGCTCTCGCACGGTTCGACAGCCTCATCGCTTTGGCGAAGATTTGAGATGTAAGGCTCGCTTTGGCCATTCCTCCGACAACCATCCCTCGATACAACGCCTGGTTCATAGTCAAACTCTGCAGAACCTGCATGGCATATAGGCCAAAGGCGTAACCCAGGCCTGGTCCAATGTGTGGTCCAGGTATTCCTTGGACATGGGCTGCGTATGCTTCGGTCGAGAAGGAGATCAGGTGCCTGACCACGTATGGCGATAGAATCATGCACATCATGCCAACAAGCTGGCATATACCACCAACCACAAGGTCATGTCTTAGGGTGTCTATGAGAGCCCGCGCCAGAGGTCTCCTGCTCCCTTGTTCGATTCGTTTCCTGAAAGCCACAGCAAGCTTGTCCGACAAGGTATCCACTGCTCTGTCCGGGTTGACGGTCCATATATCGTTGATTTCCAATGGTCGGAGATAACCCACCTAATGAATTATGTAAACATGCTGACTTTCTGGGTTTCGAGATTTCTCGACTAACCTTCATAAAGGGGGTCATCCACCCAAAGAAGATGCGGCTAAGGATATTCGCCCCATATTCCCGAGTAACTTGTCTTTCACTGGGAACAGGAGGTATCTTTTGCAGTCGCAAAGGGTCCAGCTTGCGCCATTTTGACAGCTGTGGGAGGGGAGTAACTTGGTCCTTCATTCCCTCTGCCTGATTCTGTTCAAGCGGTAATTTCGCCTGAGGTACTACTACCTCCAATGGAGGTTGAGGAGTCTTGCTCATCTCGTTGTGGTTTCAAGGGGTTGTTGATGAATCAACCTAAAATAACATTAAATTTCAGACACCATCATGCATCGAAAGTCCACGTAGTGTGCGTGTAGAGCGTCTTTGGCGTAGATGATAAGGAGCGCCAAGCTTTGTATTCTCTCTGCCAGCCAATGCTCTGCGAAGTTCGTCAAATTAGCGAGCCATTACATGATGCCGATGCAACCATGTGATGGTGTCGTTCGAATGCAGGGTCGACAGCCGATCAGACTGGAATTTGAATGCGAAAATAATACTTACTTTCTTTCACCAAACGAACCTCAGTGTCATTGGCTGAGCCGGTTTGTCAAGCTTCTCAGGTCGACTCCGTGGCAGTTCACTGGTCCCAGACAAGGGTAACTAAGAATTGGCGCAATTTTGGCGATTGCATGCCTTGTGTATGTGTATGGAGTCAATCGACGGCTTGAAAACACCGTTTGGGATGAATCTTGCCTCGGGTCAGTAACCGCCCACAGTCATCATCAAAAGGAAATACATGGAGCAGTAGGGATACAGACCTGAAAGACAATACCCAGCCAATCGTGTGTTGAGTATCCACCAGAGATATGGCTGCACAGTGCACCAGTCAGTTACACAATTAAACGATGAACTGCCGAGGCATGCTCAATACAAAAAATCATCAATCGTTGCAGAACTATGGATAAAAGAGAGGCCAGCAGCCGTACAATCGACTGGTATTGAGAATGACAGTATGCAAGGGATGTCGCTGATCAATCCAGGTGAGACTCACTGGAAGTTATTAGTTTTCTCCCTTGTTCACACCTGATTGTCCGAGTCAGATCACCGGGGAACAACGTATTTAGTAGTCAAAAAGCAGCGTGCTAATAACCTGGCAAGCCATACCCGACAAGTCATAACCTCGTATATTTAAAGGAGATAAATCTTGTTAAATCCGGAAGTGATAAAATTTTCTTCTTCATGATTCCACCAGTTGGTTGTTAAGCAACAGCCACAGGCCGTGTCTTGGAATGCCGTTTTGATGCGGGGAGGAGCTTGTTGTCTCCGTGTCGCCGACTTCCCTCGTATTCGTGCCTCTCTAATCGACGCATAGTTACATAACACCCATGCAATCGGTCAATCGGGCTCCGACATGGGGCTAAGCTTTTCCAGGTTAGGATGATGTAAGTACTTCCTCTCAACCTCTCAAAAGTCTTGTAGATAAATAAATACTTTGTAGTTGAACATAAAATGGCGTCAATCATACAAAAGGGTATAGCAAGAGGAAGAAAATGTGCGTTGAGAATGAAGACGGGGAAGAGAACGCGTAGAAGAAAAGCCAGACATATGGTCTATCTCATGGCATTTGCCCTACGTAGTACTTGCTTACCTTTTTGTTTGCTTCCTTGAAGCGAATCTGGAGACGTACATGAAAGACGCTAAAAATGATTGCATTCTAACTAAGACTGAGTCTTACTATCAAACACAGACTAGTTCATTCATAACAGGCATCAAGTTGTTGTCCCATCCTTAAGATGGGAAATAAGCAAACCATCGAGGGTCGAATGAGTACTTTCATCGCCTTGAGCGAGAGAGTGTCTCATTTCTCCACTTCCAGCGGCCAGCAGACATTACCGTCTCTGGTCGGGTTGCGTTCACACTTTGCATAGCGGGCCAAGGGCTAGAAGCTCGTGGTCAATCGCTTACTGCGTTGTGTGGTGGGTGTTCCTTAGTTCCGAGGAACTCTGAAGACTTTGCCAAACTCTCCTTAATTGTCAAGGCCAATCTTGACATTCTTCTCTGGGCCTGGGATGATCTTGTCCTCCGCCTCACCCTTGAGGTTTGGAAGCTCAGAAACAGCCTGTGCAATGATCTCCAGCGCCTTCTGGATCTCTTCTTCAGTGATCACGAGGGGAGGAGCAAGGCGAATGATGTTCTGATGGGTTGGCTTGGCCAACAAGCCCTTCTCCTTCATCAGCATACAGAGATCCCAGGCAGTGTGTCCATTGGTCTTGGACTCGTCAATGACGATCGCATTGAGTAATCCCTTGCCACGAACGGTCTGGATAATTGGGTTCTGGATAGCCTCCAGGCCCTTGCGGAGGACGTGCCCGAGTTTCTCGGCTCTTTCAACCATGTGTTCCTCCTGAACGACCTCCAAGGCTCGGATAGCCACAGCACAGGCTAGAGGGTTACCGCCGTAGGTGGAACCGTGGGTACCAGGCTCAATGGTGAGCATGACGTCTTTGCGACCCAAGACACAGGACACAGGGTACATGCCACCGGAAATGGCCTTGCCCAGCAGAACCAGGTCGGGCTTGATTCCGCTCCACTCATGGCAGAGCAGTTTGCCTGTACGGGCAATACCCGTCTGAATCTCATCACAGATGAGGAGAACATTGTGCTTATCACACAGAGCTCTCGCCTCCCGCAGATAGTCATCGTCGGGAACGACAATGCCTGCTTCGCCCTGAATAGGCTCTACCAGGAAGGCGGCAAGGTTGGGTCCCGCGTTCTCAAAGGCCTCCCGCAAGGCTTCCTTGTCATTGTACTTGAGGGGCTTATCCGTTCCAGGGATTGTGCATCCGATACCTGGCAGATACGGACCGTAGTTTTCGCGCGACTCAGGATCGCAAGACAGGGAAATGGCAGCGAACTAGATTAAAAAGACTGTCAATTTAAAATGATCGAGTTGATTGATTTTCGCGTCAACTTACAGTACGTCCGTGGAAGTTATTCTCCGCGCTCAGAACAACGGCTTGGTTCTCCGGAATGCCCTTAACCTTATAGCCCCACTTACGAGCAATCTTGATTCCCGTTTCCACGGCTTCCGCTCCTGTGTTCATGGGCAGAACCATGTCGAAGCCAAAGTACTTGGTGACGAATTCGGCAAAACGGGGGAATACGTCATTGTAGAAGGCACGGGAACTCAAGGTTAATCGTGAGGCTTGCTCAACTAGTGCAGCCACCAATTTGGGATGGCAATGGCCTTGGTTGACGGCAGAGTACGCCGACAGGAAGTCAAGGTAGTGACGGCCCTCAGGATCCCAAACGGAGGTGCCCTGAGCACGAGCGAAAACAACAGGGAGGGGGTGGTAGTTGTGGGCTGCGAACTCCTTCTCCGCCTGAATGGCCTCCTGGGTGGAGGATGCATGGTAAGAACTAGTTCCGTTGGCAGACATGCTGGCGGAAAGAAGAGACGAGGTGATCTTGAAAGAGATAGTATTAATTGATCAAGGATAATATGAAGTAGGAAGATTCGAAGGTATACTGAAGAGCGTAACGGAGGAAGATAAGGTGGGGAGGAAATGTCCGCTGAACAGATCCGAGACGAGAGCGTCACCGTCCTTTAATAGCACAAGGATGGGAAACTCCTGTCAGAATTGAGCACCATAGGAAAAGAAGGGAAAACGGCAGAAGCAAATTGGTAGAAATCGCCATTCCAATCCGTAGCCTTTTGAGACCCGCTGGTGTCACCTTTTTGAGGCGAGAGACATGGACTCCGAAGGAGGACTAGACCCCTAAGTGCAGGTTTACCCGCTGTATATCGCTAAGTGCAGGTCTACGCGCTATCCCCAGCGACCATGATGTCGGCGATCCACCTCTCCTCCAGTGATCCAGTCAGCTTGCTTTCCACCTGACTTTATTCCTTCTTCGCCTGGCCGATCTGGGGCTTCCGGTTCGTCAACCTTTGTCCATAGTCATCCATTTGTCCACTGTCGTCCGGTCCATTACTCATCGATTCCGCGCCTCCACTGCATGACCGGGGCGGATCCCATCGCTTTTTGCCGGCCCGGACACTTTGTCCTCTTGGCCTCTCTATTAGGTAGTTTATTATTGATTTTTGAGCTCTCGCTGGCATCGGAGGGTATCGCGGGGATAGATACGCCCTGCGACATTTGCCTGCGACCATGTCCTCGTCGCGTCGAAGGAAGTCCTTCGCGTCGTCCTCTTCGTCGTCTCCTTCCTTTCACTCCCCATCGCCGCCGACTTCGCGCCTGAGGCCGCGGTCTCCTCCGTCAAGTAATACCAAAACATCACCGTCATCCACAACGCCCTTGTCAACCAATATCCTTCTGTTCTTAATCGCTTTTCGTCTGGTCAACGCATTTACTGTTCGCACCTTCTTCCAACCCGATGAATTTTTTCAATCACTCGAGCCTGCCTGGCAAATCGCATTTGGAGAAAATCAGGGGGCATGGATAACCTGGGTTAGTGGAGTCGACTCCCCCAACTTTATCCTGTGCAGCCTTGCGTCGCACTCGATTTTGTTCCAACCAGTCACATTATTTCAGTTACTAAAATCTGGACACTGGATGTCACCAATATAGGAATGGAGGCATCAACTGAGATCTTCTATCCATCCTCTCCTCTTCGCCGCCGTCTACTCCGCCGCCGATGTCGTCGCCCAGCTTCTCCGCCTCTCCCCCGCATCGCGTGCGGATCTCCTCGTCGCCGCCCCGAAAACTGCGCAGGCGGTAATCGCGGCGCTCGGGGACTTTTATACTTGGAAGTTGGCTCGCTATGTCTATGGTGCTCGAAGTTACGAGGCCTGGGCTACTGTATGTTCTGCTATTGTTCGCTTAATAGACGATGTGAGGACCGAGGTTGACTGTCGAAGCTTGCCTTGACCGTCATTAGCCCGTGGCAATGGTTTTGCTCCACCAGGACATTGTCTAATTGCCTCGAAACAACCATTACCATTGTCGCTCTCCACTTGTGGCCCTGGAGTTGGTCATTTGTGACACCTCCACGCAAGAAGGCTACTCGCGCGGCCAGCAGGGAGCGTGCTCAGAGGGATCAGGGGGTGTCGGACTCGCTGCAGAGGTACGCTGGACGTCTATTCGGATCTGTATATATCTCACACAGCACCGCAGGCTACGCCAATGTCTGACCCTAGCGGCTGTCGCCTGTATTCTACGACCGACAAACATCCTCATCTGGATGGGTTTGGCCAGTGTCGCATGGTATCGAACTTCTTGGGACAGGAGGAGGATCCTCGTGCGCGAAGTATTACTTTGCGGGTGAGTTGATGTTGCCAGGCGCGTTGCGGAATGATAGCTGATAAGCTGATAGCTGTACCGTTCTGGGCTTATCGTCCGTGGTGGATCGGCTCTTCTACGGAAGCTGGACGTTTCCTCCTTTGAGATTCCTATATTTCAACATTGCTCAGTCTCTAGCGGTTTTCTATGGGAGAAATGACTGGCATTATTATATCTCGCAGGGGTTTCCCCTTCTACTTACCACCGCACTGCCTTTCGCTCTCGTTGGCCTGTACCGCGCTCTGGCCCAGGTTCGGACGTCCGGATTGGGGCAATTGCAGTCTCTCGCGCAAGCTCAACTTGCGCTGATATGTGTGGTCATGCCTTTCATCCTATCCCTGGTCTCTCACAAGGAAGTGCGATTCATCTATCCCCTTCTACCATCTCTCCACATCCTAAGTGCACCACCTCTGGTGGACTACTTCCTTCCCGCGGTCCTCCGCTCGTCCCGCTCGTATATGCCCAGGAGGCTCACGCTCGTCTTCCTATTACTGGTCAATATTGCCATTGCCCTCTACACGACCATCTATCACGCATCCGGGCCGTCCAGCGTGCTCTCATACCTCCGGCAACAGCACGAGCTACATGCTCCGGCCGCTCAAACTCCAAATCTCAGCCCGTCAGTCAAAGACGACTCTCAGCGCGGAATCACGGCCGGCTTCCTCATGCCCTGCCACAGCACCCCCTGGCGCTCCCATCTCGTCTACCCCACAATCCACGCTTGGGCTCTGACCTGCGAGCCCCCGGTTGACCAGACCGCCGCCGAAAAAGCCACCTACGTGGACGAAGCAGACCAATTCTACGCCAACCCGGCCCAGTTCCTCCGCGACCACATGGCCGGCGGCCTCCGCCACATCCCTCGCAAACCATCCTACCTCTCCGCGCAAGCGCACCCCCAGTCGCCGAGTACAAACACCAACCATTCCATCCACGAATGGCCCGACTACCTCATCTTCTTCGCGCAGCTCGAGCCAACCCTCCAGTCCCTCCTCCGCGCCAGCTCCTACGCCGAATGCTACCGTTCCTTCAATACAGCCTGGCACGACGACTGGCGCCGCAAAGGCGACATTGTGGTCTGGTGCCTTGACCCCGCCGAACAACAGGCCTGGCGATCCGCCACCCGCCAACGCGACCTCGAGAACCGCGACAGACAATTCGACCGGATCATCGAGAGTTTCCGGAAAGAGGCGACCGAGAAGCGCAGTGGCAAGGTCTCTCCATTCCGTCGATGGATCTCGTCTTCTCCCTCGGTGGCCCCGTCGTCCTCGCTGTCTCTGCCGTGGCCGTCGTCGTGGCGCTGGCCGTGGAGCCAGCGGAAGCGGACATCCTGGTTAGGTGTGCAGATTCCGCAGTGGACAAGGACACAATCGTCATGGACGGCTTGGGGATGGGACTGGTTCAGGAACTGGACGCAGAAGAAGAAGACTAAGAAGCTCCTCGAGCGGGATCTGTGGTTGTAAGAGTTGTTTTCTTTTTGCGAATTGGTCAACTTGTTGGAAAATGCGCGCAATGTGATACCTCCTTGAGTTCTGGATCCTATTGATGTGCTGTCCCTGTAATGCCGATGAACCATAGCAAAATTTGGATCGATTCTATAGCAATTGTCCCCTTATTGATGACTTCGTCTTTGACAGACGCTATCGATTTTGTCCCTGATTTGTACCATATATCCTTGCTGACATGTCCAGCTATAACGTAGCATACACGGGGCCTAACAAGGCTCGCAAATCTTCATTCTAATGCCAAAATCACGAACGCCAGCCAATGATGCAACCAATTGTTCACCATTACGTTCGCCAAGATCAGATACAGTAGATGAATATACACAGAAGGAAATATTTTCATGTCTTCGGCAGAGACGGCTGATGGGAAAAAAAGGCTACCGGTAACGGGAGCTCAGATTGGCAAAAGCGTCTGGGCTGTGCCGTCCGCTCTGGAAGCCATTGATATCTACACTCTGCTGGCTCATGTGGGTTTTGGGGAAATTGCCATTCAGCTGAGAAGCTTTTGGCGTCAGGTCGATCCCAACACCGGGGGGGCCTTGCCCTCCCATGAAAGGATTGCGTGATCCGGCTGACTGCGGGGCAGCGGAGGCTTGTGGGCCGCTGCTCTGGTGCTCGTTGATACTTGGCATTGGCTGGTTTTGGGGCGCTTGGTTCAGCGACATCCCCATCGGAGCTTGCACTTGAGAGGGCTGCTGCATCCCGGATGCTTGTGCGGAGAATGTATTGTACAGAGAAAGGATGCTGCCCTTGTCCACGCGGCCGGTGGGCTGAGGAGCCATGTACTGAGTGGGCTGCGGCAGCTCGGCCTGTAGTTGTGACTGATACTGAGTTTGATAGACCGCATTCTGTGGTGTATTTGGGGCTGCCATCGGCTGGAATGGATTCTGGGAGGCAAAGCCTTGCCCCTGCACATGTGGTTGATTCTGCATGAATGGCTGTTGCTGCGGTTGTTGTTGCGGCTGGTGTTGCTGTTGGTAAGAACCCTGGCTAAAGGGCGATGTGGAGGAGAATGCTGGCATGGTGTTCGCATGCTGGGGCGGATTAGGCAGTGCACCTCCAGAGACTGTTTGGGCTTGCGACTGCATTGAGGTCGCCGCCGCTCCGAATTGGCTGAAAAAGGGGTTTGTCTGAACAACGCCAGGGCTCTGGGTGAGTGGTGTGCTAGTGAAGGGCGCTTGCGGCTGGGCTCCCGACTGGAAAAATGGGTTTTGGCTTCCATCGAACGCTTGTGGGGATGAGATATATGAGCCTTGTGATTGGGTTGAAGTGACAGGAGGCGTAAGAGGGTGCTGGTAAAGGGGCTGAGGAAGCGAAGCTTGACGTCCAGGATATCCTCCGGTTTGATGCGGGAATAACGGCTGCGAAACTTGTAAATGCTGGAAAGACACATCTAGAGACTGTACAGGCGCAGGCGTAGGTGCGAGTTGCTGTTGTGCTTGTGACGTTGGCATATCGAACGGATTGTACGCGCCGCTGGTCTGGGGAGACGGTTTGGAGTCGAGCTGGTCGAACGGATTCGCGGAACTGGCCCCTCTAGTCGAATTGTCGGTGGAATTGCCAGATGCTGAAGGCCGTCCCAGCGATGCAGGCCCTTCCCCCAATCTCTGCAAAGTCTCGATGGTCATCTTCAAGTTACCGTCAAGTCCTTTCAAGGCCGCTGCGTTTCGGCGCTCGTTGGTGAACCCCATCTCTCTCAGCTGGGCCAGCTTCGACTCAAATGATGCATCACTTGTATCACGGACGGAAAGTCCAAACCCTTGAGAGCCGGAAGTTGAGACGCTTCGGGGTGGAGAATCATGTCTATCGGATCGAGGTGAGGTCGCAAAGGGTCTGTTGGACGGCCGCTGGAGATTGGAGGTGGAGGAAGCGGACCTCAACCCAGGGCCCGGAAACCGGCCAGACTTTGGAGGTAGTGGAGGAGGTGAGCCCTCCGGTGACATGTCGTAACTGGAATCATGACGACTCGGGGGTTTTGGTTTTCCATCCTCCAGGGAACGATACTGGTATTTCTGCCGGATGTACCGCTCCATGCTCGAATCGGCCTCGTCGACGTCTTTGGGGACCGGAGGTTTGACGTTCTTCGGATTGAAGATCTTGTTCATGAGGGTATTTCCGTGTGATTTCATGTTCTGTGTTCCAAAGACAATCAGCTCACGCGTCCTCGAGTTGTTGACTTGGCCCGTTCACTTACGTCAACCTGTTCGGCCGTCCAAGTGTCCATTGTCAAGGACTTGACCTTGGAAATGTGTGTACCCAGCTTACGATGCAGAGTTGCGCACCGCATACATAAGAAAATTCCCATCTGTGTTCCATCGGATTAGTTATCGTATCGCGGGGTTAAGTCGTGTGCAACCGAGCGGTATACGTACATTCCAGCTGGCCCATCCTGTGTGCAAGTGGCTTGTCAGCGATTGGCCTGCAATCATATACAGGTCTCCAAGAGCATACCTGGGTTGAAGGCTCCACAGTCCGCACATCGATCATTGCCCGGCACTGAGCGGATGAGATCCTGCAAGGCTTTCTCATTTCGTTGCTGCTGCCGCTTACTGACAATGCTGGGCATTTTGAGAAAATCCGGAGAGACCACCTGGCCGTCCCTTTGTTGATGAAACAACTAACAGAAGCCGAGGGTATCAAACGTCCAAAGAAGAGATGAACTGGGTTGGGAATAGACAGAAGCTATTCACGATGGAGAAAAAGTGGCAGAAGCCGGGCCGATGTTCCGTATGCGGGAGATAGTGGGATCTTAAATAAGAAGGCAAAGCATATTTACACGGTCTGAATGCAAGGCTCAACGCAATGGCTTCTAAGAATACAAGCAAAGAGAAGGCCGAGATCGTAAGAAGAGATGTTAAGGACGAGGAGGGAATGAATCGCAGAAGTTCGATAGCCCAGGAGAAGTAGGAGAGAAAGCGAAGTGGTCAGGGATGATAAGATGGTGGTGGTGTGGGGAAAACAGACAAACAGTCACCGCGTCGATTTCTCTGCTCTCGGTGTATTAGATAGACATCCCTTTGATCTTATGGATTTGATATCAATATACTGATGTCTTTGGATCTATAATTAGAGGGACAATGGCTTTTTTACTGTTGATTGTTGGGCAGATCTAAACTGTCTCGTGGAGGACTACACATTCCAGCCTCTGGTATGGATCCCCTAGTCAAGACCGCGCCAGGGGCAACCGACTTGAACCAAGTTTTCGAGTCTTGACTATTTGACTGCCAAGCACAGAAAACGTCTGTGACACTCTCTTAATTTTCCTCAATTCCCTCCAATGACTATTTGAGCCCAATGTCCACTGGTTGTATGGTTGTCAGACAGCCGCAACCGCCATGGATAGATACCACATGGCTCTGGCTGGTGATAGTAGACGGTCTCAAGCGAAGTTGGAACTTCAGCTTTTGCGAAAGAACCCATGGTAACCATCAATATGCATCATCTTGATACACTACACAGGAAATTCTACACTTCGCACTACAAATATATCATACCATGATGGTTATGATAGAATGTATGAGCAGCAGGTGACTCACCCCACCATCGCACTCAGAGTCTCAAAAGAAACTCCAGCACGGTAGAGGAGCCTTATTATGCCCCGAAATATTTATTCTAGTACGCCAATATGACCTACCAACCTGTAGGAAAGAGTAGGATTTGGAGGTTGATTATGCGTTCGTAGTTTCATAAAAGTGTAATGAGGAAAAAAAGAAGAAAAAGAGAGAAAATTGTTGTGTGGAGGATGAAGAATATAAAGGGATCGCTCGAAGTGCGTCACGTGGTATGTGGGCCTAGCACTAGCAAATGCTAAGTCAGGTGACCCCCGTTGTCGAAGTTTTCTTTTCTTTCGCCAAAGACGCTCCTCCTCCTTCACTTCAACAAAACATTCGTCAAGGGACAATTCGCACACTGCGAACTGTATGCTCATTGATGTATGGGCTCTTCCCTGTAGTCTCAATTCAAGACTCGATGTTGTCTTCTCTATACCCTGTACCAATGTTTTTATAACCACACAGCACGCGTCTAGTCTCTCAATGGCCAAGTCGTATGCTTTTTATCTTGTTCGTTCAGTGGAAGATCAAAACCAAACAGTTTTTAGCAGAGCTGCGTCTACTCCACCCTGGTGTTCGTCTTTCTCGAACGGCAGGACTATTTTTACGACGGACATCTTACCTTTGTTATATCATGATGAGATTATATCAATGCGAACCATATTTTTGTTCCATAGATGAATGTCCTGATATGGAGCATATTAAGTCTCCAAGCAGAAACGCTAGGCTTTCTGCTCATGAAGACAGCAATACAATGTAATAGCTTATCTAGTTCCGGTTGCATTGATCTATAGGAGGTTGCGGCGCCGTAAGATGTGCTAAATAGCGCAATCGAGGGCTGAATGATGTCCAAACCATCAGTCCGTTACCTTCATCAACTGGCTTCTCGTATGGTCTCTAGTATTATCCGGTCTGTCTTGACCGACTTCTGTCTAGACTAAGAATCTTGATAATCAGCACACCAAATCGACGTGATGAAGATTTTTTTGTGACCTGTTCAATCTCAGCTTGAGTTGATGATAAATCGCAGCCAGTCTCGAACTCGGGATGAGTGAGATTATTGAGATAACAGGGACACCAATGAAGAATTAGTATGAGAGGGAGAGTGGAGATCGGAATCTGCCGCGGTAACTGAGACTCTCCGCCAAAGAGCGTGTTCCTGTTAATAATAATGTGATAGAGGATGGGTGCTGATCCGCTCCGACGAGCCATCTTCGGTTATCATCGTTGCTAGTACAGCAACGATGATAATGACGAAGTCAATCTTTGTTCTGACAGAAAGACAATGGTATCAACGCAAGCAACAGTAGATCTTTCGAGAATGAATGAATGAATCAGTCGTATCTCAGGCGCAGGAGGCAAATGAGCATTCGGAGCCATGGATCGGCTATTGCCACGGTCATTCAT